AGGAAACAAGAACCAAAGAGTCATCAGGAGTGTGTAAAAATCTAACGTCAGTACTGGGCACACAAGGTGGAGGGAGGGGTTGGGATCTCTCTGCCCCCGCCTCCAGAAAAGTGATACATTTTCAAAAGTATATAAAACTAGTTACATACATTGTAAAACATGTTTGTTCTACTTGTCAGTGTGAAAATAATAATTTAAAAATCAATGTAGAAAATACATACATAAGAATATCTGGATTTAGGAAGAAGAACCATATGGAGGGCTTAAAGATCGTTCAGTGTCACAGAAAGTAGTCCATTTCCGCACGCCCTCCCCATCACACATGTTCCCATCCATACACGCTTACATGCCCGTATGTGCACATATGTGTCATATTTTTATTGACTCCTCTTGTGATAACAAGTCATTGCCCTCCTTGAAATATCACCTTCCTTTGAGGACTATCTGGGTACAGTATTTAAAATTGCAATCCTCCTTGCTTTCCCCCCACACTCCTGATCTCCTAACTAGCTCTGTTTTTTTTTTCCCCATAGTACTTAGCATTTTCTTTAGTTATTGAATATGTTTAATGTTATTGTTTGTCTCTCCCCCACTAGAATACAAGCACCACAAAGAAAGAAAATTTTTATCCATTTTGTTCACTGAGAACAGTGCCTGATACATAACAGTATTTGTGGAATTGCAGAACATTCAGGAAGGGGAAACAGGAAGACAGTCTGGCTATGATAGCTGCCTAGGTGTTCCAAGAAGAGAAATTCAATCTGATGCAACTTTGTGATCTCAACCACATTTTAAACCACAGTTTGATTCTCTTGCTCTCCTTCCCTAGCTTTTAAAATAGTTCCAGTCAAGCTTCTTTGTGAAATCTTCAATATGTCATGTTTAAAGACTGAATTTTGAAAGTATTATAAAAAATAGGAAAGGACCTGGGCTTTAGAGACAAACCACTTCCTTGTCACCTATTAGGTGTGACTTTGAGCAAGTCGCTTAACCACGGAGTCTAAATTTCCCATATGTAAAATCAGAATAAAATGTACTGGGGCACTTATTGGGTGGACTAAATATACACAAAGTTGTGTGAAAGTCCTTAGTATGCAGTAAGTACTGGTTTATATTGATTCCTTTCTCTTTCCCCTCCTCACCATAAAACAGCTTTTATTACATTTTTATTTAATATTTTTTTACGTATTTTCAACTTAGCTCTAAATTTGGTTCCCACTGACCTTTTGTTAGATTGTTTTAGTAATCTGTGGTAAGCTAAACTTCACAAATACAAATACACAAATGAAAAAGGCCCATGTATAGTATTCACCTGGGCATGGGTTTTTGGGGATTGTTCTGGAAGGTCTGAGTTCCCCTTGTGTTGTTTACACAAAAGGTGTTTTGTCTTCATCTTGTTGTCAACAAAAACATCAACAATGCTATCCTCACTGGTTGGCATTTTAGACTTTAGAGCTGGAAAAAGTCAATTCCTTCCTTTTACATATTGAGAAATTAAGTCGTCTGTCTGGTAAGCGGCAGAGTAAAGGATAAGAATTCGAACTGATTTCTTGTTTAGTGCTCTTTCTACCATATTATACTTTCATATAAATGAAATTATTTTCATCGAAATGAAATACAAAGTTTGATGGTTTTTGTTATCAACATGATAATGTTGATACAGACTTTTATCACGTATATTTAACTTTTTGAATAGATAATACATGCACAGGGTACTAAAAGGTGTACATAAAAGTAAGTCTCCCTTAGCTCTGCTCCCAGCCACAACAAGCCACTGCTACTCTGTGCATGTATTCCATATATTCTTCTATTGTTTTACCCAAATGACAACTTTTATATACTTTGCTTTTTTCACTTAAAAATGTGAACGTATTATATTGTAAGTGATATGTATTTGCTTCTCAGAGCCCCATGACCACCTCTCCTTACTCCTAGCTGTCGTTAATTAATTAATTGATTTTTAAATTCATGAACAAGAGCTTATTGAGCACTGTGTTAGGTGCTATTCTAGGTTCTGGGAGTGGAGGAGTGAACAAGATAGAAGAAAACCACTGTCTTCACAGAGCTTACCTTCTTGGTTTGCTGTTGGTGATATGATAGGGGTACAAATAACAGTCTCTAGGATAAATGGAAGAGAGAGAAATGAATTTCTTCAGACATGATCAGAGGAAGCTTTAAGGAAAAAGTGGAAATTTATCTGGATTTTAAGTGATGGTAGAAATTTAACAGGAAGAACTTGGAAGAAAGGGTACTCTAGCACTAATGCATTGGAATTATTTTTTTTGTTATTTCAGTCATGTGTATCTGTTGTTTTGCATGGTAGCACTTGAAGTTCTACATTCAAGGTTACCATTTGCTTCAAATTTTGGAAAATTGATTCCTTTTTAAAATGGCTTCTTTATTTGCAAAATAAAATTGTTCCTTTGTCTTAGAAATCAGTTTCTGCTAATATCCTAATTCTTTTTCCCAATTTATTTAGTTGAACTAGACATGAAGATTTTTATAGATGACTTTTACCTACTTCACCTTTTTTATACAGTTACGAGAGTTTTCTTGTTTTACTTTTTCCTTACAATTTCATATGTCTGTGTTGTAATTGACTGTTAGTTGCTTCAGCGCCATTATGTGCTACCAGCAGGGGTTGTCAACCTTGGCTGCACACTAGAATCATTTGGAGAGCTTTAAAAATGCTGATACCTGGGTCTGAGTTGAAGCCTGGGCACCAGGATTTTCAAAAACTCCTCAGGTGATTCTACTTTGCAGCGAAACTTAAACTGTTGGCTTCAAGTATTTCAGAGGTAACTGAAACATGCTTTCTGCTTTTGGAAAGTAGGTAACCATGGCTCCTCTGAGTGGTGTGATCAATCTGTCATCTCAAATCTCTTGCTTAAAATAAAGTGAAATGATTAGAATTGAGATAGCAGAATGAAGTCCTTGAGTTTGTTAAAGCACTTTTATTGTTATTCACCAAACCATAAATGGAATTAAGTAAAACATATATATGGATAAAATAATTGTAAGGCCTTTAAATTCCTATATGGTTGGGGGAAGGGATAACAGTTCTTGTTTTGAGTTCTGTACGAATCAAAGTCATTTGGCTCATTTTTAAAGTCAGAAATTAACAAATCTCTTTTTACAGCCTATAACAATTGCTAAATTATTGTCAGTATAGTTAGCCAAACTTTGTTCTCAAACTCTTGTTGACTTTGTCACCTACTTTCAATGTAATAAGTACTCTGTTACCATAAGAGGATCTTTGTTTACTCCAGTAACAAGATGTTGGACAAGGACTTGTAAACTCAAATAGTTACCTCCTGAGGTATCAGAGAACTTCCAGAAAGAAATCAAACTGAACTTTAGACAACTCCTTTCTTTTATTCTGAAAAGTGATTTAGTCTCTTTCCAGCTTAGAATTGGGAGCTGAGATCAGGTTAGGGATGTTTACTGTGGTTTCACTGTTTGAAGTATTGTGAATTCCCAGAAAACACCCATATCTTGCAGTATGTACTGCAATAGGGTTACAAACTTTTTTTATATCTATATACATATCAGCACCGTGTCTGAAAATAGTGGGGCTTGGTGAATAGAATAGATAGAATTGGGTTCAAAGCCTAGCTTTTCTATTTATACGCTGTGTTACCTTTATTTATTTAACTTATTTATCCTTAATTTCCATATCTGAGAATTGGGGGAAATGATACCTAAGTTTCAGGTTTGTTAATGAGGTAAAATATCTTAGATTCTTAACATAGTGCCTGCCCATAGTTGGTCTGTAATAAATAATAGTTCCCTAGTTTTGATATTGAATTATTCTAGAGAATCATTTTAGTAAAAATGATACCTGAGAACAAATTAAGTTCTAAATTTTCTGTAATAATGAATCTTATTATTAATAATTAGTGTTGGGGTGATGTATATGAGTCACATTTTATGTAGCTGAATTTCTGAATATTTCTGAATTTCTAATAAACCTGATAATCTCCTGATAAAGGTGTTGATATCATTTGTTTATCATGATAGTTTTTATTATTTTTCATTGTGTTTAGAGACATTTTACAAGAACTCAAAGATTCTTTGAAGGGAGAGATTAGAAAGTTGATGGTATAGACTGGGCAGTGTAGTGTGATCAGGGCATAAATACCTAGGTTCATACATACACAATGAAAACATAAGTGAAAAATAATATAGGCCATGTCAGGGTATAGCCAAACCAAATTAGTTCATTCATTAAAAAATGTTTATTGTGTTCCTCTATGTGCCGAAATGAGATCATCAGAGTACTGACTCCTCCCGTTTCTGCCTTTCAAAATTATTCTCATTTTTAAAGGCACAATTCAAATGTGGTCCCTTTTATAAAGTTCTCCCCCACCCCCTAAAAAGGAATCTCGTTTCTCTGCATTCTGTCAACATGTGACCTCTACTTGGGCACTCACTTCACTGTTTCGTATTGAAAGCAGTACTACTGCTAAGTTTCAGGCATTGGGTTGAAGGTTGTACGGGGCCCTGGTTAAGGGCAGTGGTTTTGACATCAGAGAGATTTTAATTTTAATCTCCACTTTGTCACATACTTTCTTCGCAAAGATTTGTCCTTTCTGAGCTCAATGTACTTATCTGTAAAATCTGTAAAATGAGGTAGAAGCTTTGTTGAAAGCTTCTACCTCATAGTTTTGTTGAAAGATTAAGTGGTATAAGTGGCCTAAGATAATAAGTGTTCAATAAATTGTAGTGAATATTGTTGTTGTTTGTGGGTGGCCTGTTATTTATTGTGTGTAAATATGATGTGTGATGTATATAAAACCTCCTCCTCTAGACTGTGCACTTTTTAAGATAGGGACCTATCACTTGGGATTTTGCATAAGGTTTAATAAATTAACAAAGATTTGTTGATTGAATACATTAACTTTCACTCTTCTTTGACATTTAAAAAGAATAGTATTGGCATATATTAAAAAAAACTTCTTAAAAGTTGTTTTCTAAATGACTTCGTTTTAAAATCCCTACAGGTACCTTCTTATCCCATAACTTGTGTCCTGAAATCTGAGAATTCCATGCAGATAATATGATAGGAACTTTCAGTGATTTGGAGGCATATCCTACTTAGCCTAATGTGGGCCTTCTAGCTTTCCTGAGAGCAAACACACAGTGGTTGCTAATCGGCACAGAGAATAATGCCATCTCTGCCTCAAGAAAGAGGTAAGCAGATTGACTTAATCACATTACAAAATATGGATGTATTATAGATCATCGCTGCTGATTTTTTTTTAAGAATTAAAAATTAATGGGGGACTCTTAAAGAACCAGAACTTATAATTTTACCTTGGGGTGGGGCATTCGTGTTCTCTGATATGGAATTTTTGTTATTTCAGTGATATTTGGTTGGCTTACATTTCTTTTAAAGTTATTCAGGGACCCTCTCCCCTGGATCTGAATACAGAATTGCCTTATCAAAGCACAATGAAAAGGAAAGTCAGAAAGAAGAAAAAGAAAGGAACCATTACAGCAAATGTTGCTGGGACAAAGTTTGAAATTGGTAGGTCTCTCAGAGTCATGAGATTGTCATAATTGTTGGAAAAACTAGTTTGATGTTGAAAACAAAGTAGAAATTCAGAGAGATAATTATCTTTAATGTAATGGATTTTTAAAGACCTGCTATAAAATTTTCTTTTTTATGAGATATTTAACATGTCAATAATCAAATAGAACATCAATGTAAACTAAAAGGTTTAACTATTAATGCGATAGGATTAAATATATATGATTTTGATTAATACTTAATTTTTAAATCAAGTATAAAATAATGTGAACATTAAAACCCAATGGTTCTAATTCTAATCTTTAAATGTAGATGTGCTTAGGCGAATTGTATCATTCTAATATATTTTTCACTTGGGGCTAAAATTTTGTTTAATCTGTAGCATTCATTATTTTGTAAATAATTTTTTAACTAGATTAAAATGTTAAATGTAAAATGAAAAGTGAAAAATTTGAGATTTTTATTAAACAATGAAAGCCTGACTTAAAGAACAGAGTAAAAACATGTTTCTCTTTATGCTTTAAAGAATTCTTTTTATGATGCTGTTGCTTTTTATTAATAGAATTCTAGTTTTTATGTGTAAGTAATATCTGTGGTGTAGAGAATATATAAAAAGAATTAATTGCTTAAGATACTTTTGCCCAACATTGCAAAACTCATTATGAATACCATAAGTACTCCAATAATCTTCTTCATTTTCTTAATAATTTTGCATTAAAAGAGTTGAGGAAAATCATATGACCCTCATGGATGTTAATTATTCTTACCCTTACTAATCTTTGAGAGTCTCATTTCCATTTACAGTAATTCACTGAAGTTCATCAGCAATTAATGGACTATTTCATTGGAATTGAGATCCCCCAATACTCTATTCCAGCAAGTGTTCCTCAGAGGAAAAGACTTTAAGCAAGTTAGTGTGGAAGAGCGAGATGTGAAAGGTTCAGGGTTTATTTGCAGCGTGTTTTCTAGAGTGAAAAAAGAAGAGGAAGGTGACCACTGTAAAAGTGATTGATGGGTGGCGTTACCTTACCCTCTGGTTTATTTTGAAGGTTCTGGTGGGGTTCATAAGGAACCTGGCTCTAAAGGAGAGTGATCAAGTGCAGTTCCCTCTCGCTTTCCCAGGAAGTTTTCTCAGGGCTGAAGTGGCATGAGCATTCTTCATACCGGGTCTGGACCTCTTTACTGAGCCTGCTCAGTGGGGTTTAGCAAGATTCCTGGCTAGATCAGGCTTGGAGCCTTGGATCAGGGACTGCTGGGAGAATACAGAGCGAAGTATAGGGAGGGAAAGAGAACTGGCCGTGTGTCATGGAGAAAGTGCTACCTTTCTCTTCCCTTATTTAACTTAGTGATATGCAGCTGCTAGCTTCTTGTAATTTAATTACTGCTCCCTTGTCAGGCTGAATTATATAATGGAAAGATAATTAGGCCATAGGCAGGACACTTGTGCTTTTGCCCTGGCATTACCTGTTTCCTCATGTAGAATACTTTGACTGCTACTAGTTTTAATATTAATCCTATTTATTACCCTTGACTAAATATTTTCACATGCATTACCTCATTTAATCTTCCAGATAACCCTGTGAAATAGGCTGTGTTACTCCCTTGCTTACTTTTCCCCTGCCTTTCCTCACTCTAATAGTGAATTTGAAGTGGCTAATAGCCAGAAGAAAATAAATAAGGAAAAATAAAGATAGTAATATGAGGTGAATCTTGTGGCTGACAAGAATACAAAGTACATTCCATGAGATCCTCTGTAGTTAGAGATGGGCATGGATTTGACTCAGAGCTTCCTAGCAACCAAAGCAAATATTGAAACCTTACCAATTTTAGAATGCACAGAGACCAGAAGATAAAATCATGCTGGTTATTCAGAGGAAATATGACTTTTTCTATTCCTGAGTCTTGAGAGAAATTTCTCTCATAGTTCCTCAGGTAGACATGTTGTGGAATAGTGAAGTACGTTCTCATGGTAGTCCTAGAATTAATACATCATGAAATTTCACATTATTATTTTTTATGATTCCCTTACGGCAGAGTTTAAGAAACTGAAGCTCGGTGAGAGTTAGTAATGTACCCAAGGTCATACAGATGGCAAAAGTGGAACTTGAACCTGAATTAATTTGGTTCTAAATTCAATGTTCTTTTTACTATATCATGCTGCCTAAATAAAATATGAATTGAAATTTAAAATGAGGAACATCAAGGTGTCTTCTGTATCAAAATTCAGAGAGTTGTGGCATGGGTTCCTATTTTTAGAACTCCTGAACAGCCTCTGAAAGCTCTATGGGTCAAGGCAAAAAAAAGTAAGACGAATTTGTGAGGAATGTATTTTTGGTAATTTTCATTAAATGGGAACAAGAAAGATTGGAGAAGGGGATACGTAACTTTATAAAGGGAAATATGAGAAAAATGGTTGTATAGTTATCTCTGTTTTACCGATAAGGAGTTTGGTTTGGTAGAAATTCAATATGGAGGCAATTATTTCATCTCTTTTTCAAAAGAGAGCTCCTAAAAGACCAACATTTAAAAGCATGGATTTAGACCTTAGCTGTCAACAGCCTTCTATTTGGAACTGACATGTTAAAGGAATTTCTTTTCTATGCAGTGGAGGATGATATCCTTAAAATTTCAGTTCTAACAAAAATATGATTAAATAGCTTAGCTGAAAAAAGTGATAGTTTAATACTCAACATTGTATTTTTCTTTGAAGGTTAACTTTGTCAGCTCTGCAAGCTTTGACTTTCATGATAAAAGAGATTTGTATATGACTGACCTTACAAATTTGATTTTGTGAATCTAAAGAAGAAATGGGTCTTTTCTACCATTGTTATGTAACCTGAGTGTCCCCAGCCTCACCGGCCCATGTATACATTAATACCCACGTTGTAGTAGCTCCTTACGCTCCCTCCCTCCGTAATTGCACTAGTTCCGTTTCTGTCATCAAGGTCTTCCCACTTCTTTTGAGAGGCCCCAGACAGTGTCTCTCATGTGCTCAGGAACAGGTGTGCTCCTGAGCTGTTGTTCTGGCCTCATCATTGTTCTCTGCTTATGAGCCCGTTAAAGGATTTTTCCAGGCTGTGTTGCTATTCCCCGTGCCCTCCCTATGAGCTCTGGGTGGCACAGCAGCTCCTGAGCCCTCAGGACGCCAAAGCTGCATGGTGGTCTGTGGCAGACGAGAGAGGAACAGCCCTTTCCCCAAGTACATTGTCACCTGGGCCTTCAGAACAAGCCCAAGTTTTACAAAGGCTCTCATGGAAAACAGCAACTTCCACTCAACGGTCCTCTCTCAGACCTCATCCACCTCTAATCACTGTCCTCTTCTTTTAGGCACTGTTGCAGAAAAAGTCCTTTATTTCTCCTCAGCCAAAAAACAGTCAAGAGTCCCCAGGACTTGAGACCAATGGGTGTCTGGTCATTACTTTCATACTTGAGCCAAGTAAATTCAGATAATTGATCCCTTTTTGCCATTTCTCCTTATCTATACAAAGCCAAAATTTATGCTAAGTATTTGCTTATATTTATTCTAAACTTGAAATTCATTGGAAGAAAAATATCAGTATGTTCATTATGATATCCAAGTTAGAGAGGAGCATATAGTTTGTACAAAAAAACAAGCTTTCCTCTGAGCATGAATTTTTTTCAATAGGATTGGAGGGTTGGGAGCAGATAGGAGGGCCAGTTTCCAAATCTCTACTGTGAATTCTGCTTCATTATTTCATATCCTGAGTCAACATAGCTGACTTGGTTTTAACTGCTAAAAATAATTTGAAATAGGGAGGTAGAAAGTATAGGATAGGTCTGATGATCCGGGGCTATTTTTACCTTTTCCCTTTTGTAACTAGACCAAGGTCGTGAAAAAGCCATAAAAGTACATTTTCCTGATAGAGGTGTTGTCTCAGCTGTGTGTATGTTTTGTGCTATGAATAATCACTAAACTCTTTAGCAGTGTGTGTACCTGTTAAATCTCAGAGGATTGAAACCAAGGATCTTGGGTGCAACCTAAAAACAGTTCTCAGTTACTATTGAGTATAATTTGGCCCCAGACAAATTGGTGAAACTAAAAATAAGGTTATTCTATAGCTAATGGATATTTTACAAATGAAATACTGTGAACTAAAATTTATATATATCAAAAAATGTTTCCACAATGAATATATTTCAAAGTATGTTAATTTTGGTTTAACTTAACTGTTTCCTTGCAGTTCGTTTAGTAATAGATGAAATGGGGTTTATGAAAACTCCAGATGAGGATGAAACAAGTAACCTTATATGGTGTGACTCTGCGGTTCAGCAGGAAAAGATTGCAGAGCTGCAAAATTACCAGGTGGGAAATTAATCATGACCAATTATTGGTCATTTGGAAAGTTACATGAATTCCATTGTAATTTTCTTTAGATAGGGTTCTGAGTATGTTGACATATTAAATTTCGGTTCTAACTTACCCGAATAGCCTGTTTTGTTGCTATCCAGTTGTACTGACTCTTTGCATGAAGCCTGCATCCTTTCAAGTTTAGCTTTTAACCTCTTTCCATCGTTAAGGAAGGATTTTTAGAAGAAAACGCTTCCTGGGCTGGTTCTTTTGCGTTGTGCTTAAAGATGAGTGATGTGGAATAGACCGCAGAGAGAGATCAGGATGTGGAAACACCTTGTAATGTTGGCTTTGTGAAATCTAGCTTCATTGTTTTATTTTTAGAATGTAATACAAACTTATATTTAAAAAATGAAAAGCTGAAACTAAAAAGCCAAATATGTGGAATTTTAGACAATTGATAGTTTGTGTAGTCTTCTTCATCTGTTAGAGGGTAATGTGAAATTGACTATCGGGAACAAATAAGTCCATTTTCACCAGTTTTTCTGGAGTGTTTATCTGTATGAATATAGTAAATCTAGAATACCAAAAATAATTTGGACATTGAATTACCAGTTACTCAACACAGAAGATTATAACTTAATTTAATGTCTACCTACTGTTTTCTGATTTCTTTAAAAGTTTGCAATTTTATTCTCTGATTACCATAGATTCCTTAATTCCAGAAATTCATTATAGGTCATTTAATTTTAAATATTTTACATTAATAATTGTCAGTTTATTAAACATTAAACTCAAAGGATGGATGTAACTGTAATATTGTATTATACTGTATAACTGTATTATAGTATAAATGAATATATTTATTAAGTCAATGAGAATATTAATGTTTACCTTTTTATTTTCCAGAGGATCAACCATTTTCCAGGAATGGGGGAGATCTGTAGGAAGGATTTCTTAGCAAGAAATATGACCAAGTAATCTTCATTTTCTTGTAATAGAGAAGACCTGTTGGAAATTTACATTGTGAATATTATAGTGCTACCTTTCATAATGTTGCATTGATTTGAAATATTATGATGGAAGAGAGAAATTTTAGAGCTAAAAGGGTCTTAAAAGTTCCCTGTGCTGTTCTTCCACTTTGCAAAGGAGGTAACTGAGGGTCAGAGACATGAAGATCTTGCACAAAGTCAAGCAAATAGTGACTAGCAGAGCTGGAGCAGAATCCTGTTCTCTAGAATCTCAGGGTTCTTTTTACTGAAACTTACTGTCTCTCTAGCAACATAAGTTTTTCTTTTAAATATAAGAGGTTATCAGTATGTGGTATTCAATATATACTTATTTATTTTCAGTTAAACCTTGCAGGAACTTATTTGTTGCATTATATGCCATGTGTGTACGCATGTGTGTGTTCATATACTGGTTATTGAGCGTCTAACATATGCCAGGCACTGTAGTAGGTATGTGTGTGCACACACGTACACATAGACACGTGTATATGTGCCCAGCCAGGGACATACATGCACATATAATTATCTCTGAGACCAATATTTAGAGTAACAATTTGCTTTCATGGGAAAAACTGTTAACAGGTACTCAAGTGTTATACTGAATTAACTACAGAATTTATGCAGTTTATATTTCTGTTGATTAGATTTTTTTTAGGTTAAGAAAGTTGAGTGATAAATTGAGAAAATTTTTTAAAAAGAGAACTCTTTCACAGAGGAAGGTTAGTCAACTTTTGTGTGTAATTAAAGAAATATTAGTATGCATCCATGTGTAAATTTATACATCCATTCACTCAACAAATAATTTTTGCATGTCTACTGTATGCCCCAGAGAGTGCTAACTTTGAAGTAAACAAGGTAACTAAGGCCTAGTCCCTGCCTGGCACTCACATTTTAGTAATGGAGAGAGACTGATACATACAATACAATTTGATGGTGCCGCATGAGAGGTGGAGTGAATGTATGGTGGTGACAGATGGTGGGAGAGATCATTTTTTGGAGGACAGGAAAGGCTTTCTAGAGAAATTAAAGTATGAGATGGATATTGAAAAGTGTATAGGAGATCACCGTTTGAGAAGAAGGTGGGGAGATTTTAGGCAAAGACAATAGTGGGAGAAAATATATGGAGTCTTAAAGCAACATGATTTGTTTGGGGAAGTTGAAGCAGTTTCTATGGTGGTGAAGGGTATTGGGAGGCTCAACCTGAAATGATACTAGAGATAAATGCAAAGGCCAGGCTATGTATGCCATGTTATTATCTTTTATTTAATCATTGATTCTTTAATTTCTTTAAAGAAGGCATTATTTAATGGGTTTAAGTGGAGAAGTAATATGCTTTATTTATTTATTTATTTGGTGAGGAAGGTTAGCCCTGAGCTAACATCTGTTGCCAATCCTCCTCTTTTTGCTGAGGAAGATTGGCCCTGGGCTAACATCTGTGACCATCTTCCTCTACTTTATATGTGGGACAGCTGCTATAGCATGTCTCGATAAGTGGTGCGTAGGTCCGTGCCCGGGATCTGAACCCACGAGTCCTGGGCACCGAAGCGGAGTGCACAAACTTAACCACTATGCCACTGGGCTAGCCCCCAATAGTATGTTTTAGATAATCTTGGTGTTATTGTAGATAATGGATTCAGTGAAGCTAGGACTAGAAGGAGAAAGCCCTGGAGGAGATGATGGTCGACATCTAGGTGAGAAATAATGAGCATCTAATAAGCCAAAAGAGAGAGAGTGGGAATGGGGAAGAGAAAGTAAACCTGAAAGATGTGAAGGAAATAGGATTGATAGGACTTGAAAACTGCTGTGATGTGAGAATTAAAGGAGAGGAGGAGAGAAGTCTCCAGGATGACTCCTGGGTTTCTGGCTTAGGATGTTGAGTAGGTGGTGTGATTTAATAACATAGGGGTTATAGGAAGATGGACTTCAGAGAAAGGGAATTACCTCTGTAAAGTTTTGGCCATGTATTTCATTTAAGTTGTTTATTTTTGTGTAACACATTTATTGAATATCTGTTGTATGTCAGGCACTGTGCTGGGCTCTGGGCACATGAGGTGATCAAAAGCAGACTTAGAGCTTTTACAACTTTGCATTGCAACTGTGAAAAGTGCTATGAAATAGAGCTACATAGTTCTAAATCAGTTCAGCGTGAAGGACTTCTAACTTGGGCAGGCATCGGAGTTTCCCTGAGGAAGTGAAGTGGCGTGGAAGCTGAAATATGAGTGATGAGTAGGTGGAGATGGTAGGTAACAGCCTTCTGGGCAGGAAGATAGCATGGCTGAGTCATGTGGGGGGAGAAAGCATGAATAATCAAGATACTGAAATAAGGCCAAATGTAGCTGGAGCACAGAGAGGTTGATGGGGAATGGGGGAGAGATCAGCTGCAGGGGGAGGTTCAGGATAAGGTCTTTAACCTAATGCCATGGAGAGGAGGGGGAGACAAAGTTGGTAATGTCACCAGGTTTGCATTTTTAAAAGATCTTTCTGGCTGCTTTGTAGAGGACAGAAGTCTGTATGGTTGGAGGGGAAAGAGGGTTATGTGTAGACCCATTAGAAGGCTATTGCAGATAGGCAATTTCCCATTCTATGGAATCCTTGGAATTCTCCTTAAGGAAAAAATAATCTTCTGTTAGATAAAAAGTTATGACCTAGTAATATAAAAATAGAGTTAACTAAATTACATGTTTAATATCATTTGGTAAATCTATGACAGAGCTAGGGGCAGAAGTTATCTTAGATTCTCAAATAAGCCGCATGTCTCTTTTAAAGCTGTACGTTTTTACTTCAAACAATTTGTGCTAGATTGCCTAAATGGAGTAAAGTATTTCTCCTGAATATATGTGTGCTTGGATTTTTTTCCAAATATATATGTGAAAGAATGGTATCATTCATAAATACTACATGGTGGGTTTTAAAATATATTGTTCAGGGCTGGTCTGGTGGCGTAGTGGTTAAGCGCACACGCTCCGCTGCAGTGGCCTGGGGTTCGGATCCCCGGCGCGCACCGACGCACCGCTTGTAGAGCCATGCTGTGGCGGCGTCCCATATAAAGTGGAGGAAGCTGACCACAGATGTTAGCCCAGGGCCAGTCTTCCTCAGCAAAAAGAGGAGGATTGGCGACAGATGTTAGCTCAGGGCTGATCTTCCTCACACACACAAAAAAATAAAAAAATAAATAAAATATCTTGTTCTAATTAAAGCTTTAACTTGATCTAATTTCGTATCATTGTTAAAAATATAATAAATACATTTAAAGGTATTGGAAACAAAAACAAGCACATGAGCACTGTTAGTGTGTTTCCTTTAGATGTGTGTGTGTGTGTGTGGGTGTGTGTGTGTGTTTCAAACCAGTCGATGTTAGCCTATTTTGTACTGAGATTATTTAGCTTGTTAGCTTATTCTGGACTTGATAGATGGAGTTGAGGTAATTATTTCCCTTCTTATAGTGGAAGCATAACTTTCTTACAGGGTTCTTTTGAAGGAGCACTTGAAATATGATAACCGTATGAACCTCTAGTTGTGGAAGCCAAGTGGCTTATGTATTCCACACCCTAGTCTTAGAATTTAGGCCCTTTGTGCATATGGTATACTGTGGTTCCATTTTAGTTTTTACTAATCTAATTTGGGGACAATATCTGCTCCTCTATAAAAGACTTGCATACATTTATAAAGAAGACATTTTTTGAAACAGATTTTCTTTCATAGTAATATTTTTAAAGATTTCTCCTAATTTATTCATTTTTATTGGGAATCGATATGTACAAAATGGTTTACATTTGGGATTAATCAAAACTGAACATTTATACCTAGTATTATCCCTGAGTTTTGTATCAAATAGGTAGCCTGATTTGTAGCAAATACACAAATATCAGGATGTACATTGTAGCCATAAAATCACATGTAGAGGCATGTGTAGTTCATATAAACAAAACCTCTCCAACTCAGAGACTTCACATGGTTTTCTCAGAAAAGTAGTTCAACTCCAAAAAACACTGGAGTAAAAGGCGATCAAAAACTGCTCTTTATGGGTGACCCAGAGGACTCAAAATCATCTTTGAAGAAGCAGTGTGAATGGCACCTGGCCGTGAACCATTTCCTACTGCCCACCCCCACCCCTGGGGCAGAGTTACTCTTTCCATGTTACCTTGCCTTATATGGCTTTATTGCACTTATCACATTCTATTTAATTAATAGCCTATATGTAAATTCCTTAAGGCAAGGACCATATTAATTTATCTTAATACCCCCTGTGCCTAGCACACAGTACATACTCAAATAAATGTTTGATCTACTAATATGTAAGTTAGTACATAGGGCAGAGATTCTTGTCTTTTTTTTCACTGATGTACCCCCAGTGTCTAGAATAGTGCTTAGCACATAGTAGGTGCTTAATAGACATTTGTTGAATAAATCAATGAATGAATCAATAAATGAAGAAATGGAGGGAATTTAAATCCTTATAGTAAATGTCGGTAGCACAGAGAAAGAAAATTTAGAAAAGTTTGAACAGAAATTACTTTTCATATTATCTCTAATTTATAGAATGATCAAGTCCCGGCCTCTGGATTATACCTTTGTTCCTCGAACATGGATCTTCCCTGCAGAATATACGCAATTCCAGAACTATATGAAAGAATTGAAGAAAAAAAGAAAGCAGAAGACTTTTATAGTGAAACCAGCTAATGGTGCAATGGGTCATGGGTAGGTATTTTTCACCTGGAATATATAAAAATAAAAAAAAATTGGGGAAAAGAATTAATCTGAGCATTTGCTCGTGGTTGAGTACTAATATGAAAAAAGTAATAAATATGTTTCTAACTACCACTTTTTTGGAACTAAATGTTTAATGAGCCCATTTAGCCTGTCTCACAGGCTTCAGTAATTCAATTTAAAAATTAAATCAACAGGTCATAAGACTTTAGTAGAAGACAACAAAATAGAAAAAAAAGGTGTTTTCTAGTTTTTTCTTAAACATAAAATTTGCATTTTTATAATAATTTTAGAGTAAGCTTGGAGAGTAAAATCAGTTGATACAGTAGATACAATCCAAGTTGACTTGGAGAAAGAAATGGAAAGGGAGTTAGTTTTTTCATAGCTAGAAATCTTAGGTAAAAAATGTATCTTCTTTGCTTTACAAATAAGTTTTTTCTTTCTGTAGCTATGATAATTGGATTCAAAATGAGTAGAATACGTTTTAAGCTAAAATGCCAAGTACTGGACATGTTAGCTGATAATAGATTATACAACTCAATATTTCTTTTTCCTTTGCTTTCTTGTGTTAGTTTTCTGCAGTGTACTTTTTCAAAGAAAATATGGCTGAGGCTGTTTTTAATAAAAACATATGAGTCATTTAATCTTTTGATTTAAAATGTTTGGGGAAAAAAAGATATTTGGAAATGTAGCTGCCAGGTAAATTATTGTTCAACAAATTTTCTTTCGACTTATAATCATCATTTCATAATTTAATCAGACATTTTTAACTGTGGTTTAGTAATTTTAAAAATAAACATGTAATATTAGTGGGAATTTTATATTAATTGTTTAATATAAAGTTAGTTAGCTATATGTTAGTATCAAAGGAATTTTTGGGGGGGATAACTGAAGCTCACATTTTTCTCAATTTTAATGTTAAAAAATTAATGTTAAAAATATTTATATTTAGGGCCGGCCCCATGGCTTAGTGGTTAAGTGCATGCGCTCCGCTACTGGTGGCCCGGGTTCGGATCCCGGGTGCGCACCGATGCACCACTTCTCTGTCCATGCTGAGGCCGCGTCCCACATACAGCAACTAGAAGGATGTGCAACTATGACATACAACTATCTACTGGGGCTTTGGGGAAAAAAAAAGGAGGAGGATTGGCAATAGATGTTAGCTCAGAGCTGGTCTTCCTCAGCAAAAAGAGGAGGATTAGCACGGATGTTAGCTCAGGGCTGATCTTCCTCACGCACACACAAAAAATTTATATTTAATGTTAAAGCATTCTAAATAAGTAATAATCTGATTTGACAAGAGTGTAAAAAATACCTGAAAAAACATACTTTGCATACTGTGCTGCCAGGGATTATCTCATGTAACGCAGTAGTACATGGGTAAAGGACGCCTCTCTTATCTGTGGAATAGATCTATTTCCTTGTGGGTCTTCTATTTAGTTGTTCTGTCTGTTATTGAAAGTGGGGTATTGAAGACTCCAACTGTTATTGTTGTCTATTTCTCCCTTCAATTCTATCAGTTTTTGCTTCATATATTTTGGAGCTCTGTTGTTAGGTACATATACGTTTATAATTATTATATCTTCTTGATGCATTGACTTTTTAAAATCATTATATACTGTCCTTCTTTGTCTCTTGTAATAATTTTTGTCTTAAGGTCTGTTCTGTCTGATATTAGTATAACCACTCCAATTCTCTTTTGGTTACAGTTTGCATGGAGAATATCTTTGCTCTCCATTCACTTTCAACTTATTTGAGTCTTTGAATCTAAAATGAGTATCTTGTAGACAGCGTATAGTGAGACCATGTGGTTTTTATGCAGTCTGTCAAATCTTGTCTTTGAATTGGAGAGTTAATCCGTTTATATTTAATGTAATTGTTGAAAATGAAAGATTTATTTTTGCCATTTTGCTATTTGTTTTCTGTATGTTTTATATAATTTCATTCCTCAGTTTCTCCATTTCTGCTCTTTTGTGTGTTAAATAGATATTTTCTAGTGTACCATTTTAATTTCCTTGTCATTTCTCTTACTATATACTTTTGAGTTATTTCTTTAATGGTTGCCCTGGGATTACAATTAACATCTCAATTTATAAAAATATAGTTTGGATTAATATCAGTTTGGTTTCAATAGTAAAAAAATCTTTGCTCCTATATAGCTCTGCCCCCCTTTATGTTGTTACTGTCACAAAGTACATCTGTATATATTGTGTGGCCATCAACATAGATTTGTAATTATTGTTTTATGCAGCTATGTTTTAAATAATAAAGGAAAAATGAGGAGTTACAAACCTAAACTCTACTAATAGTGACTTTTATATATACCTATGTAGTCACGTTTACAGATGTTCTTTATTTCTTTGTATGGGTTCGAGTTACTGTCTAGTATCCTTTCATTTCCACCTGAAAGATTCTCTTTAACATTTCTTGTAGGCCGGGTATATTAGCCACAAACTCTCATTTTTTGTTTCTCTGGGAATGTCCTTCAATTTCGAATAGTTTTGCCAGATATAGAAGTCTTGGTTAACAGTTTTCTTTTTCTTCTTCTGTCAGCACCTTGAATGTGTCATCTCACTGTCTTCTGGCCTCCATTGTTTCTGATGAGAAGTCAGCTGTTCATCTTATTGAGGGTCCCTTGGGCGTCATGAGTAGCTTCAGTCTTGCTACTTTCAAGATTCTCTCTTTGTCTTGGCCTTTGACTGATTATAACGTGTCTCAGTGTGGACCTCTTTAAGTTTATCCTACTCAGAATTCATTGAGCTTCTTGGATATGTAGCTTAATATTTTTCATCAGATTGGGACGTTTTAAGCCATTAATTCTTCAGATATTCTTTCTGCATCTTTCTCTCTCTCTCTTTCTTTTGATACTTCCATTATAGGTATGTTGGTGTTCTTTTTTTTTTGTGAGGAGGACTAGCCTTGAGCTAACATCCAATGCCAATCCTCCCCTTTTTCCTTGAGGAAGATTGGCCTTGAGCTAACATCCGTGCCCATCTTCTTCTACTTTATATGGGATGCGGCCACAGCATGGCTTGACAAGTGGTGCATCAGTGCAGGCCTGGGATCCGAACCTGCGAACCCCAGGCTACCGAAGTGGAGCACGCGCACTTAACCAGCTTGCGCCACCAGGCTGGCCTCCAGTATGCTGGTGTTCTTGATGGTGTCCCACAGGACTGTTAAGCTCTGTTCACTTTTCTTCATTCTTTTTTCTTTCTGTTGCTCAGACTAGTTAATATCAATTGACCTATCTTCAAGTTCAGTGATACTTTTTCTGCTTTCCCAAATCTTTTGTTTAGCTCCTCTACTTAATTTTTTATTTCAATTATTGTACTTTTCAACTCCAGAATTTCTGTTTGAGTACCCCCCCCTTTTTTTGAAGAATTTCTATCTCTATTGATATTCTCTATTTGGTGAGATATCATTCTCATGGTTTACTCCAGTTCTTTGTACGTGATTTCCTTTAACTCTTCAAATGAATTTAATCAAGTCGATTTAAATAGTTGATTGTCTAATAAGTCCAATGTTTCCTCAGGAACAGTTTCTGTTAATTGATAATTTTCCTGTTTATGGGCCAGGCTTTGTTTTTTCTTTGCATGACTAATAATTTTTTGTTGAAAACTAGTCATTTAGAATATTATAATGTAGTAATCTGGAAATCAGATTCTTTCTCCCTCTACAGGGTTTTGCTTGTTGTAGTTGTTATCTGTTTAGTGACCTTTCTGAAATAATTTTGTGAAGTCTGTATTCTTTGTTGTGTGTGGCCACTGCGGTTCCTGTTCTGTTAGATCAGTGGTCAGCTGGTAATTGGACAGAGATTTGCTTAAGCACTTGGAACCAAAAAAAGAATCTCCCAATCCTTGCAGATGGGCTGTGTGTGTGTGTTGCAGCATGCCTTCAACACTCAGCTAGGCAGTTTACAACTCTGACTTAGCCTTCACTTCCTGCATGTGCAGAACCTGATGGTACAGAGGTAGGAGCTTAACTTAGGGTCTTCTCAGAGCTTTCCTGAGCATGCATCTAGCTCTGGGAATGCATATGGCCTTCTAGATTCCCAGAAATATGTCAGAGCTTTTCAAAGCCCTTATTCCCCTCAAATTCTCATTCTTCAGTCTTTCTTCCCAATTTTTTTAGTTAATCTATTGTTTTCTCCAGCTGTTATTTGTTGCCCTAGGCAGTAGGGACTGTCTTGAAATGTTTTCAACAACTGCCCCCCAAGTAGCTGTCTCAGCACTGGGAGAGTTCCCAATTAAGTGAGATAAAAGCAAGTCCTTTGAAGTCCTCCAGGGAGTCACCAGACAGGTGAAAAAAAAAAACAACCACAAGAATAAAGTCTATTCTGCTTCCTCTAAAACCAGTACTTGTACTGGGAACATGGGCTGCTGTTCACAGCCACTGCTGAGCTGGGGGTTGGGAAATGGGACCAGAGTAAGTTAAAATGCCACAAAGCTCTTTTACACAGATTCAGCTGTGTGGTTTTTTGTTTGTTTTTTTGATTAAGTGTTCCCTGGTTTTCACAGGCTTTTGGTTAGTTACCAGGGTTCCAAAAAAGTTGATTCTGACAATTTTTTTTTGCTGTTCATTGCTTTTGTGGCGGGACAGACCTTGGAGTTCCTTTGTCCACTGTTTTCCTCTTGAGTGTTATCTATAACTTTGTAAACATCTTGACTCTGTATCAAATTATTCTTTTAATTCTTTTCTTTAAATTTAGGATTTCTTTGATAAGAAATGGTGACAAACTTCCATCTCAGGATCACTTGATTGTTCAAGAATACATTGAAAAGCCTTTCCTGATGGAAGGTTACAAGTTTGATTTACGAATTTATATTCTGGTAACATCGTGTGATCCACTAAAAATATTTCTCTACCATGATGGACTTGTGCGAATGGGAACAGAGAAATACATTCCACCTAATGAGTCCAATTTGGTAAGTGATACTAGACAGAATGTATGATTTTATTCATTTGTTCCACCTGTAATTTTAAAGCACCATTGTGTATAAAGGTTATATGAATCAAAGTCCTTCCTCTCAGGGTTTTATAGTCTAGAAGAATGTATACATAAACAAGACTGCTTTTAATTTATAGACAGCTTTGTAAAAATTATAAAAAAAAATGTCTGTTTCAGACAGGCTAATTAGGAAAAGGCACTCCCTCTGGGAGCATCAGGATGGATTTTAAAGCACACATGTGCATGCAATGGCCCTGGATAAAAATGATTTATATAGAAATATAAATAAAAAATAGTATACCATTGAAAAGTACAGATAAAGTGTTATGGAGTTGAAGGTAGGGATAGTTTGTGTTCAGCTCCTCATGGAGAAGGTGGTATTTGAGTAGGCTTCGTATGGAAGGTATGGTTTAAACATGTAGAATGTGGGAGAAAGTATATTAAACAGAGAAAGCAAAAGTTATCAGAAAGTAGTGCTATCAATTTTTGTTGGAACAAAAGAGAAGATTGTAAATTTACCAAAGGAGAAGTAGAGACATAAATTGGCAATTTCAGTGTACATTTTTAAGTCTATTAAATGGAGCTTTTTGTAGATTTTCCATTAAGATTTCTTTTCTGTAGCCATAACATATTGATAAATTCATAGCTGTAATTTATAGTTTATGAAGGTCAAACTATAATTTATTATCATAATTTATCATGAAAGTCATAAACTGTAATTTATAGTTTATGAAAGACAAACTATAATTTATTATCCATACTTAAAAGTTTAGTTAACCTCTAACTCTATTTTTGGATCTACTATTTATACTAAAAATTGCAATTAATTAAGTATTGGTTCTCATTTTGTCAAAGGCCTGGTTACCATTCCTGCAATCTTATGCACATAATTAACTCCATTAAGAGTAGTCATATTTTCAAAATTAATGACTGATCAAAAATGTTACTGTGTTCAATTAAATGAAAATGTTGTAAACCTGGCAAAGGAAGAATAAGGGAACTGTCGAAGTTTTCGCAGGAAAAGAAGATAAAAGAAAGCATCATCTCTTTTAAGGTCATAAAGTGTGGACGTAGCCAATTACCAAGTAATGTTTGAACTCTCCTGCATTCTAGGCGTGGTGCTGGTTTTGGAAAAACAGTGACCAAGACAGATACAGTACTTGATCTCACAAAAGCAATAGTCTAGTGGGGAGGCAGAAAATAAAATAAGCAATTATAATACTCGATGGTAAGTGTAATGGTCTAAGAAACTGAGAGTGCTATGGCAGAGCATAGTACGGGCGTCTAACTCAGTTGGAGATAAAGATTAGAGAGGGAGTTTGTAAAATGAAATCTGAATAATGAGGGGTTAGCCATGTTGGGGGTGGGGTAGGGTGGGGTGGAACTCCAGGTAGAAGAATGGCCTGGAGGTAAGAGGCAGTATGGTATGTCTGGAGAAAGCAGACAAGTTCAATGTGGCTAAAGTACAGACTAAGGAGTGGGTGTTCCGAGATGAGGATGGATTGTCCTAGAGGCCAGATCTTTCAGGGCTTTGTAGGCCATGTCTAGGATTTTGGAATTTAACCTAAGAAGAAGGGAGGCATTGAAAGATTTTAAACAAGGAAAAGAAGGAATGAGATTTGTGTCTTAAAAAGGTCGCTTGGTCGACAGTGTGGGGAATGTGAGATGGGGTGTGAATGGATGGGAGAGACTAGAGTGAGGGAGACAAGAAGCTGTATTCCAGTCTAACCACATGTGAGAGGAAAGATGACTTAATTTGAAGTAATAGCAGTAGGGCTGGACTAAGAATAAGAATATAGATTTAAGATATATTTAGGATAATATGGATAACATTGATATAATATACTGACAGATTGAATTTGTAGAATGAGAGAAAGAGAAAGAGAAATTAAGAATAAAAGTCAAGATTTTTGGCATTGGCAGCTGGGTGGATGGAGTGTTATTCACTGTGATAGGGAATACAGGAGCTATTAAGGGTTTTGCAGAAAGCTGTGTTTGGTTTGACGTGCCTGTGTGACCTCCAAATGGTTCTGTACTATGAGCATTTGGATATATAGTATAGGTCTGAAGTTCAGATGAGAGAGCTGAGCTACAGGCATAATTTGGGACTTGTCAGCTAGTAGATTATAATTAAAATAATTGGAGTGGATAAGAATGGATTACATACTTGTAAAGCAGATACTCATGTTTCGAGAGGAAAGAGTAAGGGAAGAGATAGGAAATGGTAAGACTTGGAAGCTCGTTTAGGTGATTTATTAGTGATTTATTAGTGATTAGTGATTTATTCTCATATCTTAAGTTATATGTATGTAGTTTGCGTAAGTACACTGGGTTAGGACATCATAATGAGAGATTGGGAGTCAGAAAGTCTGGCCTCTAGGTCTCACTTTGCCAAGTGCTCTTAAATCACGTCATCTCCTGGCTTTGATTTTCACATGTGAAAAATGATGTTTTCCTATATAAATGTGACTGTTCCTCATATATCTCTAAAATTTCATGATCGAATTCCTAGATTAAGAGAAGGAAAAATAAAAAAGTGAAATACAAAATTTTATCTAAAGTGAGATCACAATTATGTCAAAGATTAGTTTAAGAAAAAAAGGCTGAGAAAAAACTCCAAAATGCTCTCATTAGTTGTTTTTGGACAGCAGACTGCTGCATATTTTTTTCCTTCTTGCTATTTCCAATTTTATAAATAGTAAGCATGTATTTTGTAATGAGCTGTGTATTTCTATAAGAATTAAATATTGATGAATCAAAAGAGAGAATTTCAGACACTGAAATATGATAAACATTCATTTTTTGCTACCAATGTTGCAGTTGGCCAATCCTTGAAAAGTTTTATATCCCAATTCATTACATGGAGTGTATATGCTGAAAAATAGGGTGGAGAGCAGTTACATCGCAATCATCCCTTGCAGGTTTCCATTTGGTTCATAGCTTCCTTCACTTCTCCTTATGGCAAACTTCCAACTGGCAGTGAACTGTTTAGAAGGGATTTTTGTCAAAGTTGATGTGAAACTGTGGAATTTCCAATCCTACTTAGAAAGATAATGTTTTAAGAAAAATGCAAAGTTCCATTTCTTATTCACTTTTACACTAGGATGGCTAGTGTTTTTATTACTGCTATTAGTTATTTTAAGAAATTTTTGCCAAATGGAGAGCTCCTCAAAAAATGATTTGTTTTTTCTTTTTTTCTTTTTTTCTTTTTTCTTTTTTTTTTAAAGATTTTTATTTATTTATTTTTCCCCAAAGCCCCAGTACATAGTTGTCTGTCATAGCTGCACATCCTTCTAGTTGCTGTATGTGGGACGCGGCCTCAGCATGGCTGGAGGAGTGGTGCCTCGGTGCACACCCGGGATCCGAACCCGGGCCGCCGGCAGCGGAGCTCACGCACTTAACCACTAAGCCACGGGGCCGGCCCATGATTTGTTTTTTAAATTAAAAATGATTTAGGGGTTGGCCCCATGGCCGAGTGGTTAAAGTTCTGCATGCTCTGCTTTGGTGGCCCAGGTTTGCGGATTCGGATCCCGGGTGTGGACCTACTCCACTCATCAGCCATGCTGTGGAGGCATTCCACATGTAAAGTAGAGGAAGATTGGTGCAGATATTAGCTCAGGGCGAATCTTCCTCAAAAAAAAAAAGATTTATATTTTGGAAACTAGAAAATTTATAGTTTGATTAATTTCCTTTTTCTTTAAATCAAGCACTTAAAGTTAGACAAGGGTAAGTTTTATGCTCTTTCTTTTAAATATCACTTAATTTAAAGCTTTTTCTAGGTTTCATGAGGGAGGAATTGTGTCTGTCTTGTTCATCTTTGTATCCACAGTGCCCAGCACAAATTCCTGCTGATAGTAGGTGCTCCTTAGATATTGTTTAATGAATGAAAAGAGATTTTTGATTAATGGTGGGAACATGCATTAGTAAACAACAGGTAACTCAACTCAGATGATCAGTTCTGCATATTTGCTTTAAGGATTTCAATACTGTAGACCTAAGCAACTGCAGTGAAAATAAAATATGATATGAATATAGTTGGTTATTAACACACCAAAATAATAATCATGTGCATGAAGTGTATATTCATTGTGATGCAACACTGCTATCTAAAGTAATCTCTGGGCGTAGGATCATGAGGGTAGGATTTATAGACTTGATGAGTGTTTATGTGGGATTGATAAGGAGCCATTAGATGTGTATTAACTGACAATTATGAGAAGTCTTAAATTTTGGGTTCTTTTTCAAGTTTATTTGAGGATAACAGTATCAACAAACAAGAATATAAAGAGACTAAGACATAAAAGCCCCAATATGGAGCACTGTACACTTACTGTTACTCATTTAGACATCTGTACAGCATTGTGTGGAGCTTCTGTCTCTGAGTCTAAGTGCACTCTGTCTTGGTAATGAATTCAAGTGGCCTCCCAGTCAGTATGGGGGGGTGGGGGCAGAGGTATGTTTGGTAGTCCTCCCTCTTGGTTTATGCTACTTACTTGAGCTTTCATTTTTTATTTTTCTTTAAAAAGGCATAGAATGCTCTCTTAGAAAATTCCTTCCCAAAACAAATTTGGGTGAAAACTGTAAGTGACCAAAAACATTAAAAAGAAACAAAAACAATCTTAGAGCATTTTCTTGCTTAGCAAGAAATATATAGTTTTACATTTTCATTTACTTACTCTGTATATTCTTGTTATTTTTCTTTTAATATTTTTTATAGTAGATATATTTTGAAGGATATATAGAGTAACTCTGTAGATGACTATGTTCACAATCCTTTTAAGGGAAATGTGCCCTTCTGTTTAATTTGTAAATTATCTAAATAATCATGAAATTGCCAATCTGTATAATTTAAACTTTAAAATTGCCTTTTGTCTTTGGATGCTTTCTTTTCTGTGAAACGTCATGGTTCTAGAGTCTCATAGGTGATAACAACGTTGGTTCTTACTTGTTACAGACCCAGTTATACATGCATCTGACAAACTACTCTGTGAACAAGCACAATGAGCGTTTTGAAAGGGATGAAACTGAAAACAAAGGCAGCAAACGTTCCATCAAATGGTTTACGGAATTCCTACAAGCAAATCAACATGATGTTGCTAAGTTTTGGAGTGATATTTCAGTAAGATTATACCATTCCACAATTATAACTGTCTTTCCTCTGATTAATTTAAAGATTCATCAAGCATTTTAAATAAAGAACAGATTACATTTTTAGATTGGGCAGATAGAGTGTTTTCATGAAAGAAGTGGAATTTGTGATGGACCTTGATAGATAACTAGTATTTTTACTGCTAGGGATGGGAAAGAGGGAATTGTAGGTGGAGGCAAAAGTGTAAGTAAAGGCATGGAGGTGTGAGAATAGTGATCGGTGGTCCAGGTTGGCACATATGCTGTTTGTAGAAGATGCGTGGGGACTTATGGCTGAAAAGATATGTGTAGGCCAAATTTTAGGTCTGAAAATCAAGGCTTAACTTGATAGGCAGTGATTCATTTCTTCTAGTTTTTAAAGGAGGAGAGTAATAAGGCCAAAGATATGAATTTAAAAGATAAATAGGAAAACGGGTGTAGGATGGGTTAGAGTGAAGACCAAGAGTAGGAAGAGGAGGACTCCTGGGAGGAGTTAAATGAAAAGAATGGCCTGAATTGAACCACATGGAATGAGGGAAACATTGAGATTAACTGAACATCCAGAATGGAGGAGAAGTATTCAGAGGTTCCTCTGCAGTTTAAGGAGGGATTATAGGCAGAATGGGTATGGCGTTGTCTGAAATAGAGTAGGAAGGAATTTATTTTGAGAAGAACTTGTAGACCTTAGTTTTGCAGATGAGGGAAAAGAGTGCTATTCATTTGTTCACTCGTTCATTTGTCAGTTCAGTAAATGTTTATTGAACTTGTAATGTAAGCCTGTCTTTGGCTGATAATTTGAAGGTTTATAAGGTACAGCTGCAGTCCTCAAAAACTTAGAGTTTGGTAGGAAAATCCTGTGCATAAATTGTTAATGAAGCGCAATGTAGCAAGTATAACAACAGAGCTCTCATTGCATTCTGTGGGCACATAGAGGAAGACCACGTAGAGAGGCTTTGGTTGGGTGGTAATGGGAGGAGGACTTCCTGGAGGCATTGACACCTGAACTAAGTTTTTAAAAGTCCATGAGGCTATAGTGATGAGTTCTACTTTAGATTTGTTGAACTTGAAATGCCATCTCAGGTTGAAAGGTCAAGCAGGCAATTGGCGGTGCAATTGATAATTAAAGCCATGGCAGTGGATGAAATTCCGAATGGTAAGGGTAAAGAGAGAAAAGGAGAGGGTAAATCCAAAGGTCCTTAGGTGTCAGACAAGTAAAAAGGAGTGAAGTAGTCTGGATAGAAGAAATTGAAAGTGCCAGGAACTAGAGTAATTTGAAGAGCATAAGAGATCTGAAGGGGATAGACACCACTCAGCACCAGCCTATTGGTGTCATGTGATATTTTGGGCCCAGTGTGGCTCATTCTTCTGATTTTTCAATAGAAGCCATAAATCTTCTGATTTATAAATGCTGGCAAAAAATTCAAAATTTTTAAAAATGTAGAGGCTCCACCGAAATGTTTGTCAGATGCCTACCAATTTGTTTCTGTGATATCTTCCTGAGAGACTAAATATACCCAAACAAGAAATTTGATTACAACAATGCTGTTTATTTATTTATTTTGTTTTATCAAGACCAATTTTATGGAAATTCCAAAAAATATTCTTTTTTTTTTTTTTTAACATTTATTGCCAATCCTCCTCCTTTTTTTTTTTTTTCTTCCCCAAAGCCCCAGTAGATAGTTGTATGTCATAGTTGTACATCCTTCTAGTTGCTGCATGTGGGACGCGGCCTCAGCGTGGCCGGAGAAGCGGTGCGTCGGTGCGCACCTGGGATCCGAACCCGGGCTGCCAGTAGCAGAGCACGCACACCTAACCACTAAGCCACCGGGCCAGCCCCGCAAAAAATATTCTAATAATGATAATTTACTGTCATAGTGGGTTAGAAGCATCTAAGTGGTGAAATTTGCTATTTTTGGACAGTAGCTCATTGATGGAAGATTATACTTGATGATACCTGGATGATTTAATGAATGAGTTCTTTGATGAATAGTTCAGTGAGACCAAGAAAGTTTTCTATACCCTCTGGTATTATTTTTTCACTTCCATATGGGTTTGATTCTTTGCGGAAGTCTTTGTGAAAAGGTAGAGCCTGTTGGGCTGGCTTGGTGAGGAAAGTATAGAGACAATCAGAGAGAAAAATGAGTATCATTAGCTTTACATACATTGATTTTAAGTGGTACTTTCCCCACATAATTGAATTAGGAGAAGTTATACAAGTAAGACTAATACTAATAAGAGGGTATGAAAGTTAACTTTTGTGTTGGAGCCTAAATATAATTTTCAGATATGAGCTGAGCATGGCCAATGTGAGCCTATTAATCTCTGACACATTTCATGATCTTTTCTATATTGGGGTAAATTTTGCATCATTCTTGCCTACATTAGTTAGAATGTATATTAATAATCTATAAATAACCAATTAATAATTAATAAATTGTTAACTTTTCCAAGTGCTTTTCTTACAGTTGTCTTGTCAAATTGCGTATATGTAATTATTTTAAAATTTGCCTTCTTTATTACGAATTGCATAGACGTATGGATATCTGTTTAAGGTGAATTAATGGGGTTATATAAAAAGAGAATGACAGGAGAAGGCAATCATGCAGTAAATTTTTGTCTTAATTTAAAATTTCATGAATTTAGCTTAGAAGTATTTTCAATGACCACTTTATTGGTGGTAATTTCTCTAAAAAGTAACTGTCTGTATATGAAAACTAACATCCATCAATACCCTCTATGAAGGACAGAGATGTGTGCTTTTGTGCTAGTCAAGAATGAATAAGAAATCAAAGAAAATCAGGCCATGGAGATTAAAAATGATTATAATCATTCATGAAACCATCCTTACTGAATGTTTTTCATAGACTTTAGCTACAAATCTACAAATCATCTTTCAGAGCAATGACACCATGGTGGAAATTCTCAAAAACATTAGTGGAATTTAATTTGTGTTTGGTTCTATCACTCCTGATTTTCACATAAACCTGTAATCTTGCCTTTACATTTCTAAAAGTGTGTTTTCTTTTATGTAGAGAAAACACAGCTTTGCAATTCAGAGTCTGTTAATTAATAGTCCCTTTTCTCTCTGCCTGTTTTGTTTCATACAGACACTTTTTAGCCAAGGTTTTAACTTTTTATTCCTACTCTCAGGTGGTTTCAATAATATCTCTAAAGATTGATCTGAAGTGGCTTTTTGTCTTTTATCTTTATATACTATGGTGTTACCATGAATTTGTCGTTTTGAATAAAATTTTCTGAGAACAACCCCTCATGACATCTCTGATGCTTATCCCCAAATATGGGCTGGGTGGGATTCTGGGTAACAGTGAGGTTAACCTCTGTCTTCCATTTTTCCTCTCATGTAATAAATATTGCTCCCACCAGGCAGTGGGATCTTTGTGTCTGACCTGACATGTGAGCTGGAGTTCTAGAGGAATGATAGAATAACTATAACAAGAGCAGCAGTTAAGTTGCTCACAGCTGTTGAAGGTTGACTCTGTTCCAGGCACTATGCTAAGAGTTTTACATGAGGTCTCCTTGTCCTTACATCAGTCTTTTGCAGCAGGAATTATTACTATTGCTAGTTCACGTTTGGGAAAAATGAGACTCACAGGTTTAAGCAACGTGACTGAGGTTGCACATCTAGCAAGTAGCAAAGCCAGGAGTACGCCCAGAAAATCTGACTTCAGAGCCACATTCTTAACTGCCGTGCTCCATTACCTATACCTGTAGAGAGAGAGTTCAAAAGACAATATATTCTAAGCAAAAACCAGTGAGAGAGCTTTTCCACATTCCATAGCTTGTTCTCAAACTTCAGTAAACCAGCTTCTCGTTCTATTAGCATTAGTAACTCACTCTAGTAGTATTGCATGTCCTCACAGAAAATGTTGATAGCTAGTTCTTTAATTGGCAGTACTCGTCTCAGATAAATGTTAAAAACTACAAAATCCTCACTGTACAAAGAAACCCAACTCTCCTGGATTCTGTCCTCCTAGTTCTTTCAGGCTTTGTCTGAGTGGAGGTCCTATAATGTTTGTGAAATCGTTGACTCTCCTTGAAATTTTTCTTCCCTGCCACCCCTATTCTCTTCTATATGGTTCCTGAGAAGGCGAGCATATGATCCTACCCTTACTTATTTAACAAATAGAAGCCACGTTTATCAACATTCATTTTACTTATTGGTTCACCAATGTTTTTGAGCATTTACTAAATGCCAGGCGTTATTGTAGGCACTGGGAATGAGGTTGTAAAGACAGACAAGGACCCTGCTCCAACAAAAAAAAAATATCAGCTGGTTCTATGCTGTGTGGTGATGCACTAAGGAATGATGGGTGGGTGGCTGCTTTTGCCTAGGGGGTCAAGGAAGGCATTTCTGAATATCAAAGAGTCAGACGTGGGAATATTGGGGGAAGAGTGTTCCAGGAAGAGGGAACAGCTAGTGCAAGGGGCACAGAGAACGCAAGCCTGGCTGGAGCACAGTGGGTGGGGGAGGAGTTGGATGAGATGAAGTCAGAGCAGCGGAGGGGGCTCGGTGCCATAGAGCTTTGTGGACTTGGCCAGGACACTAGTTTGTAAGTCCAGGCCACGTTTGCACATCTGTAAACGAGATACAAAGAAATACGGCATTTCACCTTTTTTTATCACAATCCTTTTAGGAATTGGTGGTCAAGACTCTGATTGTAGCAGAGCCTCACGTCCTGCATGCATATCGAATGTGCAGACCTGGTCAACCGCCAGGAAGTGAAAGTGTCTGCTTTGAAGTCCTGGGATTTGATATTTTGTTGGATAGAAAACTAAAGCCATGGCTTCTGGAGGTAAGGAATTTCTTTTAAGAAGAGAGAAAATTTATCGCTGTTCTTGTGTATTAAAACAAATGTTTCTTAATGTGTACTTGGCACAGTTATCTCGTTAACTGAGCAGGAAGAGGCCTGAATGGAGCATGTGGGAGGAAGAGAATGAAAATTCAGGGAATAGAACAGTTCCAGGAATGAATCAATATATGTTTGATATTACTTTTCCCAAATTAGTATTGAGTGAATTTCTAGGCCAGGAATTTTGAATATATGTGTGGATCTGCTTTTACTGGTTTGTTGTCTACTTTCTCCACTATTTACTCAGCCTCACGGCTTCTACCACCTCATGACTTCTGGGTGTTGTCTTTCCTCTGTGTGGGTGCCTGGGAACAGGACCACAGCCTCCCTGTCTTCAGTGGGTCTCCCCTTCAAACTTGCCAAGAGGAGAGGGGCTCCGATGGTTCATACTCAGTATTCACTACCTAACACCCCAGGTGGCATGAATTTTCCTTTTAGGCCATATTATGTGACCTGGGGCTCCCCTCAGGTCCAGCCCGTCAACTGTGTGCCTTTAAGTTTGCTGCCAGACCCTTGTATGGTCAGAGTCATCATTATTTTTCTTTGATTATAAAAGGTCACAACATTTGGAAAATATGGAATAATATAAAGGAGAAATAAAAATGAGCTGTGTTTCAGATTTTTATACCTTTTTCTTCCAGTCATGTTTATATTTATATTATATCCAGGAGAAACCTTTGAAGTCACGTGGTCCTACAGCACCCCATCTAGCAATTCTCCCTAACTTCCCTGATCTGGGGTTATGGAGTGCATGGCCATGAAATACTGGGTTGAAGAAACTTTATCAGGAAAATAGCACATATCTAAACACTTAGTGTTTACTAGATTAGTTATATATATATATATATATATATTTGGTGAGGAGGATTGGCCCTGAGCTAGCATCTGTGCCAATCTTCCTCTATTTTGTATGTGGGTTGCTACCACAGCATGGCTTGATGAGCAGTGTGTAGGTCTGTACTGGAATCCGAACCTGTGAACCGCAGTCCTCTGAAGCAGAGCGCGAGAACTTAATCATTACGCCAAGGGGCCTGCCCCTTAGTTACCTGTTTTTAAAAGCATTTGCTTAACTGGAGCTTTGTATTAGCTTGGTAAATCAGAATTGACTGAATGGTTGAATTCTGTATTTTTTTTAAAGGCTCAAAATACCACTGTTTGCATTAACGTTTCCTCATACTTTATTCTCTCCATCGTTTCCAGATCAATAAGAACCATTAAAAAACTCCACAATAACCAATAGTTAAATAGCATTGTCTGCATTAACATATTTTCATTTTCTATTCCTTCTTTCATTTCCAGATCAATCAGAACTATTAAAAAAACTCAACCATAACCAACAGCTGTGGATAATGAACATTCATTTTACAAAATGGTTCAAAGAATCTGATTTAGATCTTGTTTCCTTGTATTTTCTCCCAGCTGCAGTTGTAGGAGGTTCTAATACACGATGTTCAAAACCCTTTGGCGCCATCAAGTGGAATAAAATAGAAGGTGCTTCTGAGGCTGTGATAACTTTAGTTACCTGTGATAATTGCAGGTCATGATACGTAGTGGCAAAATTGCAGAAATATTCAGTTATAGAAAACATTTTTAGGGAAAAACATGGAAATTGGGTGGAATATGAATATACTTCTAATACTTAAGTATCCTTGAATTAATTTCTACAAGTCATTGTGCCAGGTGGTTGAGCTACAAGAAAAATAAGACAGAATATTTGCCCTGACCTGGTGGGGACTCAGATATGTCATGGTAATAGTTATAAATCTAAGTAGGGAACAGAGAACCAGCACAAACAACACACTGATTAATCTCTCTGTGTACATGTGTGTGTGAGAGAGTTAAAAAAAAAATCTTTGCATAATAGAGAACACCTGAGCAGAGTATTTACGTCTGTAGAAAGTGGAGTAGGGGCTGGGGGCTGGGAGAGATGGGGGGGTAAGTTACCGGGCAGAGGGAACAGCACTGATTTAGGAGTGCAGAGTGTATTATGGATACTTTGATATGCACGTGAAATGATTGTGCTTGTTTTGATAATAAAACTATGATATGGATGTTTAATAAATAGTATTTATTAATTTAATTTGCTTTCTAATAGTTATCATTTTTGTGTGCATTTACAAGCTACTAAGCTTTAAGCTTTTGGTGGGTTTTGTCTGTTTTAGAACTGGGGTAGGAAATGAGAACCAAGGAAGCCACCAATATTACAGAACAGAATTTTGGCTGGATGGAACCCTAATTTTCAGTTTTTTCTGTCAGTCTTTTGTGGATCTTCTTTTATTTTGTTCCTTACCTTTCTCATAAAACTTTAAAAAAATCCACAATGTTAATTGAAAAATGTTTTTCTAGGGGCCGGCCTGGTGGCGCAGCAGTTAAGTGCACGCACTCTGCTTCCGCGGCCCGGGGTATGCAGGTTCGGATCCCGGGTGTGCAATGACACACTGCTAGTCAGGCCATGCTGTGGCGGCGTCCCATATAAAGTAGAGGAAGATGGGCACGGATGTTAGCCCAGGGGGAATCTTCCTCAGCAAAAAAGAGGAGGATTGGCATCGGATGTTAGCTCAGGGCTGTTCTTCCTCACACACACACACAAAAACCTTTCCATGTATTATTTTATCTTGTGTGAGTATATTTTTTCGTAGACCAATTTCTGTTACGTGATAGTAGAGGGAAGAATCTGAAATAGGTAAGAGAGAGGAGTCTGAGGTTGTGCTGTACCGAGACCTCACTACCATCCTGGAGGAGGCGTATGCCTGGCAGAATTCAGACTGCAATTTTGGAATGGAACACCTAAGGAATTCTGTAAAGATACATGACATTTCAGTGAACCACTTAATCATCAGTTCCTAAATATCTGGTTTATTTTATAATCTTGTTACATATAGTAGGAGAGCTATCGTTGTGTTATAGATTCCAGAAATTTGAATCAGTATGGAATGGTTGAACCTTTTCTTGTATAAAATATATTATTTTACCCTTTCTCTGCACTTATAAATACCTAGAGCTTTGAAGTAGCAGATTAATAGACTCCCTTTCTCAGATTTACCTGGAATTAATGGATGTTCTTGCAATTACTAAACTATTTCCTTGCCCTTGAGACCTCATCACATGGAAAGGAATATGTCCATCACCTTCTAAATCAGAAATCAACAAAGGTGTAATACAGTATGGCGTATCTATAAAAAAATACAATTTGGCATATCTCTATACAAGGAGTATCATGCATCCATCAAAATGATGGCATGAAGGACTTTCATGAGACATTGTTAACAAAAAAACTTGGACTATAAAATAGTATAGTTAGTATAGACATGTATTGGAAAGGTAAAATGGATATTATAAATATGTATACATAGCCAATATCTGGAATACCATTTATCAAATTGTTAACAATACACTAGGTGGGGGGATTACAGGTGATCTTTCTGTTGTTTGTTTAGCTTCTGTTTACTAATTTTTCTGCAGTGATCCTGTGCTCCATTTCTAATGAGAGGCATTTATATTCCTTAAATATAATGTGGTATTTCCTTCAGCTGCCACTTGTAAAATGCCTGCTATGAGTTATCTCTTGTGGTGATGGATTTGTATAAGACAACCCTCTTCTATGACTAGTAGCATACATGTTTTTTGAGGTACCCTGTGGGGTTGGTTGGTGATCATGAACCTAAGCTGTAGTTTTGAACTCAGCAGTGTTCTAACCAACTGAGTTAAGTGAGTAAGTAATTTTCTCAAACACCTGCTATTCTAGTTACATTTTCATGCAACAGCAACAACAACAAAGACAAAAACACCCCGGCTCTTGAAGTAGTAGTATATTGTATAATGGATTTCAGGGTGTGTACAGTTACTTCTTATTTTTCATCTTAATGAAATCCTGGAAATGATGTCAGAAAGTAGAATAACCACAAATGGCTCATTTATTCCCACGAGTCCTTATAGAGTTAGAGAAGCTCATAGGGGTTAGTCTGCACCTACCCTTAATGATATCTTCTGAGTAATACAATCAATGCCTTTGGAAATGAAAGTTGATGAACTATTGTTTGATCCAGGTAGAAAGAAATAATATTTTTTAGGCAGCAATGGACAGATTCATCCAGAAGATATGAAGCAATGGAAAGAGGGCACTGATAGTTTCTATGTGCTAATTACGTATGTGCATATAATTATTACTATACTGGTAACACGCATATTATTTTTTGTTACATTATTATTATTGTTATTATTATTACTGATCTTCCAACCTTTTTGTCAGGATGACTCACTTTTAACTTCCCTAAACTTAAAATCTCGAGTGCATAGGGTAATGGAGTGGAGAGAGTGGAGAGGAGGAGGAAGGCGGATATGCTGACTGACGATCCTGAGTTAAGGCAACAGGGGGAGGTGGCGGTGATAACGGTCAATTCCTTGCAACTCCTTGACTTTCCGTGATGGGGAAGAAGGTGTGGCAATGGCAACTGGGCCATCTAGCATGTAGAGCTTTGAGATTTATTGCAGAGGCCTTCTACTGGTTGGGGATCCATTAGATTAACAAATATGTACTGAATATTTATTGACCTACCAATGTTTGGCTATTCTCAATATTTTCTTTGTAAATTTCAGATCAATCGAGCTCCAAGTTTTGGAACTGACCAGAAAATAGACTATGATGTAAAAAGGGGAGTGCTGCTAAATGCACTGAAACTACTAAACATCAGGTAAGGTGTCTCCTCCCTCTTTTGGAATTTTTTCACTACATTTAGCATAGAACAATCATTTGTACATAGGATTGGCTTGTAATTTTTTATATTTGGTATTTTAAGTTTCTTGATTCCATTCTTCAAACCTGTTTTAGTTTTTTTCTTTTTAAATATCTTTTCCCCTCCTCCTGCACACTGCTTTTTCTTCTCCCCATATAATGCTCTGAACCTACAGTAAATATGGTTAAATTACAGCATTGGTACAATTATTTAATATAGAGTATGAGGTTGAACTGGAGAATACCTAAGGAAACCCTCTAGATTATCTTCCTCACTTTATAAGAAGAAACTAAAGCAGCAAGGTCATTCAGGAAGTAAAAAAAACCTTAACATGGATTTCCTACCTTTCTGTCGTGAGGTCTTCCCACTATATCGTGCTGCCTAGGTAAAGAGAAAAGAGGGGCAGCTGTTAAGTGAGGGTTAACCTTCCCATTGAAAAGCATGGACAGGATTCCTTCTTTTTTAAGGCTGAATCATATGCCATTGTATGTATATACCAAATTTTTTTATCTGTTCATGCATTGATGAGCATTTAGGTTGCTTCCGTGTCTTGGCTGTTGTGAATAATGCTGCAGTGAACATAGAAGTGCAGATATTTCTTTGAATCCTGATTTCAGCTGTGGGATTACTGGATCAATGGAATACTATTAGGATGGTTGCTGTGTACGTGATCATGGATATCAAATATTTGAAATGCTATTTATGTGGGAAAGCTTCTGGCTTATTATGAAAGAAATTTGTTAGAAGTTCAACTGCACTGCTTAATGAAGCAGTGAGTTGTCTGCTACTGTAAGTGTTCAGATAGCATTTTGGGTGTTGGATTAAAGGACCTCTGAGGTTGTTTAAGCACTAGGATTTTATGATTTCAATTGAATCTAATTGCCATTTCAAGAATTCTAGAAGAGTTGTTGGATGCTTCCAAGCAATTTATTTATTTTAAATGTTTCCATCTGTTAGCAGATGCCTGATTGAGAAGTAGCTTTATATGGACAGCATCATTAAAAAAAGAGATCAACATATAAACTTGTTCAGAAATTTTCCTATGGCCCCTTCTTTTGTCTGATCAAAGAATGATTTGCCTAAATTCTATGGGGGATATTTCAGTTATCCTAAAAGAAATGAATAGAAAGGAAAGAGATGTAGAATGGGAAATTTTTGTTTATTTAGCTTATGCAAGTACATCAAGTTATTTCAGATTATTTAAGCAATATGCCTATACATTTTTTTTTTTTTTTTTTTTTGCATTTACTATTGTATCTGTGGGCCTGGTGGGTTTTTTTTTTTTTTGGCATGTCTTTTGACTTTGCCAGTGATGGTACCAATTCAGGACATTATCTATGGGTGTTTTTGGTCTTCTTAAAAGTGAGAGATATAGGGGCCAGCCCAGTGGCCTACTGGTTAAGTTTGGCGCACTCCACTTTGGCAGCCTGGGTTTGCTTCCTGGGTGCAGACCTACACCACTCGTCAGTGGCCATGTTGTGGGGGCAACCCACATACAAAATAGAGGAAGATTGGCACAGATGTTAGCTCAGGGCGAATCTTCCTCAAGCAAAAAGAAGAAGGTTGGCAACAGATGTTAGTGCAGGGTGAATCTTTGTCAGCAAAAAAAAAAAAGCAAGATATATATGGTTTAAACAGTGAGGAATTTCTGGACTTTAAGGGAGAGTTCGAATTCATCTTCCTTATTTTTCTTAGTGCTGTTCCACTAAGAGAATTTATCACAATTCTTACCATTTAGAGCACATGCTAATGAAGCTTATGTTGCAGAAGTGCCTTTTCTCTCCAACCGGATTGAGAGCTCCATGGACATGTATGTGTTAGACTTGTATTTCACAGTGACTAGATGTGGGATGGGCACATCATAGGAGCATAAGCAGGAACCAGGAACACTAGGAAAATTCTTGTCTATGTTAAATATTATTGGGTTAATTTTCTTATGGACTCTTTTAATCTTGGATAGAATAAATTCTTTGATTCCAGAAATTCCCTATTTACATTCATTTTAATAAGACTATTGAAATGATTTTATTTTCATTGTGTGATCTTTCTGCTCAAGAACCTAAATGGATTTCTATTGCCAACACCTAGTCTAAACTCCTTTCATAATATAATTTAACCTTAGCTTTTCCATCTTACTTTCTATTTCTCTCAAGCACAAACTGTTCTAGTTAAGCAGATTATATCATAATTTCCCCCTCATATCTTGCCCATCCCCACTGATGGTTTATTCTGTTTCCTACCCTGAATGCCTTTCCTTACTGTCTATGCCTCAAATCCTGTCTTTTATTATGACATCTTCCTTTTAGCCCAAATTAATCTTGCCTTTCTTTGAGCTCCAAGAGGAATTATCGTCTGCATAGTAGGTGGCTTATCACTTTGTTTACCCTCTTATGCTCTGTGCTCTTTTACTTGGACATGGCTGATTTTTCTTTTCAATTTGATTTAAGCTCCTTGAAGTCAAGGAGTATATGCTTTGGTATTCTACGCAATTCTCAATACAATGCTTTGCTTGTAGTATGACTCCCATACAAGTGTATACCCCAAAGTTCCTTTTGTAAACATCTACTTTTAGTCTCAAGAAAATCCAGAAGAGTGTAGATTGCCCAGGGTGTTCCATCACAACCGCTCGGAATACAGAACCTTATATCGAGGAATCAGAATTAATCCCTTTTGCACTTGGATGGCACAATATAATTTGAGTTCCGATTCAAATAATTTTCTGATACATTAGGTTTGGGATCTTCAGAGACAAAAGAGTGTGAAAGGGGCTCTATATGCAGAACAAGTAAAAGAATAATAAGTAAAAATATTAATAAATAGTAAAACAGCAGTAAGTAAAAAAAGTTATTTATTTTTTTGGTAATAAAAGGAAAATCCAATCTTGTGTTGTGGTGGTGTTCCTCGGTTGATAAGAAGAATCTTTCTTCCTCCATAAGTATACTGTTAAGATAATTAAAGTAGAGTCCAGAAAAGACAGTTATAGTCCCATGAGTTCTGTGGGTCTGTAATACTAATTAATTAGTTCAGATTAGATCAGACTAGATTTGATTAGCTTAGATTACCAGGCCTTATTTAGAACTAGTTCATGGGCTACAGGTATGGCATTTGTAGCATTTACTGCTAGCCTGCTCTTGAAAATCTGTCCTCCCTGGCTTTCTTTGACACTGTTCTCTGAGTTCTCTCAACTTTGAGCATTCCTCTGTCTCGTCCTATGGTTTCACTTACTTTCTTCTCCCTACTTGTCATTTTTTCACTGTGTTCTTGCCTCAGCCCTCTTTTCTTCTGTGACAATCTCATTCACTTTTGTGGCATCATTTGTGAGTCAGACACTGGAGTCCCAAATCTACACCTGTATATAGTGGGGTATACATTGGGGTTCTTTTCAATAGTTCTGACCCACTCTGGAGCTCCGATCTTGCATTCTCTGCTCCCTCCTGCCCATGTACACTGGATGCTTCTGGTCTAATAGGGGCTCAAAAAATATGTAGTAAGTGAGTGAGCTGGCAAGTGAGGAAGTAAGTAACTGAATGAATGGATGAATGTCCTGATGGTACTTTAAATTCAGTGTGACCAAAGTTGAATTATCTTTTCCTTCAATCATATTCCTTTTGCTGCATTTCTCTCTTTTCTTCTGCTAAGGACATCAGTTACCTCCAACCCACAAAAGCTAAATGTAATCGTATATTTAATGTACATTCTTAGCCTATATTGTACCAGAAGCTAGAGATACAAAAACAAATAAAATTTCCTCTCCTTAAGTAGCTCAGTTGTTAAAAGGGCAACTACATGCTGGTAGAAAAATACATACAATGGTAATCACCCAAACTTAGTTTTCTATCTTTCCTTGCTTTGCTAGTTCATGGCAAAACCATGCACATAAAAGTCCAGGCTAGAAAGCTGGGAGCCATCCTTAACTCCTTCCTTTTTATGCATCAACTGAATCCTGTCAAATATGTGACTACAACTTAATTTCTTAGTCTTGTCTTCAAGTTTAAGGACTTCTCATTTCTCTCCTGGACTATTTTATTGGTTTCCTTCCTTCTTCTAGCACTAACCTCCACCTCACTTTGCAGCTTCCACTCTTTTGCTCTGCAAGTCATTCAACAAGTGTTTACTGAATGCCCATTGCTATTGCAGAAGGTATGGGAATTCAAAGTTTCCTATGATTCCTAGGTTTCTGGCTTGAATGATTTGTTTGACAATATGTTGTTTATTTAGATAAAGATTTTAGGTGAGAAACAGGCTTAGAGGAGTGATGGGGGAAGGTAGAAAGAAAGAGATAATTCGGTTTTAAACATGATAACTTTGAGCTACTTTGAGATACCATGGTAGAATTGTTAAGTGGGAAAGTTGACATACAGGGCCCCGGAGTTGGAGACATTTATACGACTGACATCCATGTGTAGATTGCAGTTGAATTGAACGGATGAGCACACACAGTTAGAGTGTATATATTGAGAAATAGAAAAGGCAAGGGCAGAACCCTGAGGGATGGCAACATTTGAAGAGAGATTTATAAACTCTGATATTCTGATCAGATTGTTTCCACACTATCAGATACAGTTTAAACATTGCATACGAGGCATTTTTGATCTGTAGATTGTGTACAAGACACTTTTTGATCTGGCCCTTGCATCTCTTGCCAACCTGATCACTTTTTGCTCTTCTCTTTTGCCTGCCTTGGGATTAATTCTTCTAAGAACTCGTGTGGTGCTATTTCACATGTCCATGGTTTTGCACATATTTTCATTTAAACGTTCCTTTAGCTTTGTTCCTCTGGTGAATGTCAACTCATTTTTTGAAATTGTGATAAAATATACTTAACATAAACTTTACTATCTTAATCATTTTTAAATGTGCAATTCAGTGTCAAGTACATTCACATTGTTGTGCAACTATCACCATTGTCCTTCTCCAGAATTTTTTTCGTTGTGCGAAACTGAAACTCTGTACCCATTAAACACTAACTCCCCATTCTCCCCTCTCCCCAGCCCCTGGAACCACAATTCTACTTTGTGTTTCTATGAATTTGACTACTCTAAGGTGCCTCATATAAGTGGAACCTTACAGTAGTTGCCTTTTTGTGACTCCCTTATTTCACTTAGCATAATGTCCTCAAGGTTCATCCATGTTACAGCATGTGTCAGAATTTCTTTCTTTTGAAGACTGAATAATATTCCATTGTTATATATATACCACATTTTTGTCAACTCATTCTTAAATACTTAGCTTAAGCCCGACTTTCTGTTTGAAGCCTTTACTGAGGCAAAGTGGTTTACGTCCTCCCTTGTGCCATCACTACATTTACTATCACTTTAGATAGCATTCATTGTACACCTTGTATCTGTTTACATGCCATTGCCGCCAACCCCTTTAGACTGTCAGCAACTTAGGGCAATGGCTCTGTCTGTTCATCTTTGTATCCCAGGGCCATATCGAGAACTACTATGTAGTGAGTACTAAAAGAAATCTAGATTGGAAGACAAGGGTAGGGGAAGGGCATTTCATTCAAAAGTAACTGCTTGTCAAAAGATAAGAAAGTGAGACAAAGCACAACATGTTCATAGAACTTCTAGTGATTCCATATTGCGGGAGCATAGAGTGTGTGAGGCAAGTGGTTGGAGAGAGAAATCCCTTGGATGGAATCACAGGGCAGTGGGTAGTGGAAAGGACTCCAGAAAGTACGAAACAAAACTCCTTAGGTCGGTGTATCGATCCAGCTGAATGGAAAAATGCTAAATAAAATGCTAAGTGAATGGAGATTTTTTGGTATTTGGTTAAATTTTATTTTAGACTGAGTCATTAGTGCTGATTTATGCCTATACTTATAGAAATGCAAGCACAGTTTTTAGAATGGCAGTATTCCCAAAGGCCAGAATATGGGAGCATTCCTCTAGAGAAAAATGTCTCAGTGTGATTGGCTTTTCTTTGTTTCTTAATGTGTCTGGGGAAACTTTGTGTGCTTATTCCTGCTTCTCCTCTGTCTGTGTGTGCCTGAACTGTTAGTGTGTCAGTGTCCTTGTCTGTGAGTGTCTTGTTTGCTGTGGATGTGCACATAGATCTACATTCATTTCTTTCACAGCATTCTCAGCATAATATTCTTAATCCTTTTTCGTTCTCCCTTCCTCTTTTCTGTCATTCCTTTTTTTCTTCCTCTCTCCAATTTTTTCCTTATTGATTGTTTGGTCTTCATTCCTCTCTATTCTTCTTCTTTTCATTTCTATTTCCTTTTTCTCTCCCCCTTTTCCTTTAAATAGGATGGTATATAGAAATGATCATTCTACATAAAATGGAATATTAAGAAAAATTAAAAATTAAGAGCTATCTAAATTGTGACACTTCCCTCTTTCCTTAAACAGCCAAATTTAATATTCATGATTGGAAAAATGATATTCTCAATCACCCAGTCACTAAAATCAGAAATCTTGTTGTCATCTCAAATTCCTCCTCTTTGTTACTCCTCATATCTAATTAATGGCCAGAGCACATTCATTCTTCCTCCAAAATAGTCCTTCAAATCTTTCCTTTTTCTCTAATTCCACTGTTGCTTCAGTGGTCCAGGCCCTCATATTTCATATTTGCTGATGAATTAGCATCCATCTGTTTTAGTCTATTCGGGCTGCTATAACAAAATACCACAGACCAAATAGCTTATAAACAACAGAAATTTATTTCTTACAGTTCTGGAGGCTGGTAGTCCGAGATCAGAGTGCCAGCATGGTTGGGTAAGGGCCCTCTTCTGGGCCGCAGACTTCTCATTGTATCCTCACTTGACAGAAGGGGGTGAGGAGCTCTCTGGAGCCTCTTTTATAAAGGCTCTAATCCCTTTCAAGAGGGTTCCACTCTCATGACCTAATCACTAAATTATCATGATAGGGCAAAAATGAGAAGAACTATGCAGATGTTTTCAAATACATAATGACTGTTAGGCTGGTGGTCGGTGTAAGTGAGAATGCTTAAATATAAGTGAAATTGGTTGAAGGAGGGGAAAGGAAGCAACATTTATTAAGGACCTATTAATGTTACAAGTTAATCTTTATAAAAACTCTAGGAAACATTATTGTTAATATTTAATAGATGGGGAAGCTGACTCCGCAGGTAATTGACCTAAGATTGTACAGCTAGTACGTTGCTATACTATTTCCATTTTGTCTTGTTACCTTCAGAACTTCTATTTACTATGTGGAGACCTGTATTTGATGGCTCGTTGGATGAATATCATGTATGTGAATACATAAATTTAAGAAACATTGATTCATATCCCCACTGTTTCTCCTGATAATTCTCCTCATAGGGATAAGATCTGGGCTTATTTGAATGCTAGAGTATGGTCTTGTGTTTTATATTTTAGAACCAGTGATAAAAGGAGAAACTTGGCCAAACAAAAAGCTGAGGCTCAAAGGAGACTTTATGGTCAAAATTCAATAAAAAGGCTCTTACCAGGTTCCTCAGACTGGGAACAGCAGAGACACCAGCTGGAGAGGCGGAAAGAAGAGTTGGTATGAAAACGTTAACAACGTACCCATGCTTTGAATTGCATAATTCACTTGTCAGGTTTTATTTGTAAAATTTCTTTATTTCTAGAAAGAGAGACTTGCTCAAGTACGAAAGCAGATCTTGAAAGAAGAACATGAAAATCGACATATGGGGAATTATAGGTAACTGTGCTTCCATTTTTTTATCAATTGAAGAAGTATAGTCCAAACAACGAGTCTACATTTTTTAAACTTTTAGGCTTAAGTGCTATTTAGTTCATTCTGAGAAGGTGATTTTTGTTTAATATCTTTCCAGAAAGAAAAGATAGTCAGCAAGCAGATGGCTCAGACTTGGGAGAGCTCCTACTAACCAGCCTTGAGGGTGGTTGTATGAGGTCTTTTAAATCTGATATTTTCCTGTGATCTTATTTGCTTATAATGTGGTATTTTGAGAAAGTCAGATTTTAGGTTTCCTGGTATTCTTTCTGACAATTCAAAGTGGTTTCTGTACTTTGTTTTAAAGTCAAATGTATCAGGAACCAAGCAAATAATGAAAATGTTTGAAGAAGCCAGGTATGAGACAATAGAGAGGGGTGTGGACTGTGCTGAACTGGAGCCCCTGCTTAGTACTATCACCTTTGACAGGAGAAAAGGGACCCCCTAAGCTCCTTGAGTTCTTGGAAAGACTGCCCCTCCTCCCAAGCTCTGACATTGACTCAGCAGAATTAGGAGGATTTGGGGCCATAGAGCTTCTCGAATTCCTGGTAAGATGTTCTTTCCTGGCCTTACCACCATCAACAGTAGTGATGAGAACACATTTCTCTCATCCTACCTCTATCCAGTTCTCTCTACCGGAGAGGCAAATTCCGCCACCCCAAAAGAGATCCTCAAGATTAAACCCGACATTCTTGTTTACCTCAGTAACCACACTAAGTCCAAAACTTCCAAATTATCCCTCATCACCTAAACTCTCTCCCATAAACTTCTGTATTTCTCTCATATGCTCTATTGCAATTCTTCTCTGACCAGCTTTCCCTAACCAAATCCTTATACTGTACCTTCTGGAACTGCATTGTGTAATGATAATTCTCTAGATAAACTTTAATTTATGTGGGTAAGAGAAGAAAATTTATGAGTTTCTTATAATGGTATTCATCTTTATTTCTAGCACCTGTTAAAGTAACTGGCACAGAGTAGGTGGACAAGGATTATCTATGTAGTTGACTTTAACTCTTGGGCTATGATAGCTTCTTTTGAACAGGTTGGTTTATCTGATTTTATTGTAGACGAATTTATCCTCCTGAAGATAAAACACTACTTGAAAAGTATGAAAATTTGTTGGCTGTTGCCTTTCAGACCTTCCTTTCGGGAAGAGCAGCTTCATTCCAGCGAGAGCTGAATAATCCTTTGAAAAGGATGAAGGTAAAAGAAATAGTGTTAATAAAGAAAAAAAAAAATGAAGTCAAATAATATGTCTTTAAAAACAATCCACCTTAGTCTCACATATAAAAACATTTTACTTTTAAGATGCACTTTCCTTCCATTTTTAACAGTTGGTAACATTTCATAACCAACTAAGTGATTTCATAAAGAAGATGTCTAGCAGGACAAATTATGCAGTAGAGAATGTTGATATTATATCATAATATCAATCTATTGTAATAAATATGTCTTATTACAGAGATGTGTATATGCAACTGAATAAAAAAATCCATTGAATTAACCTAGTGAGTTGTGATGCTCTCATTATTTGGATTGTAACTAACATTATACAATATTTTTTTTCTGATACTGCACAGACCTGGCATATGAGAAGTAATTAAAACACACACACATGTATACATACATAGAATAATTTGTTTACCTTACTTAAAAGGTCTATAAATTATCTATTGCAGCATAACAAACTACTTCATTTATTTGCTCATTATCTTGTAATTTTGGCTGGGCTCAGTTGAGTGGTTCTTCTGCTGGTCTTGCTTGAAGTGCATCATATAGTTCTATTTATCTGAAAGATCAGCTGGAGCTAGAAATCCATGGCTTTACTCACATGTCTGGCGCCTCAGTTGAGATAGTTGGAACATCTGGGGAGCTGGCTGGGTGTCTCTTTCTCTCTACATGGTTCTCTCACCAGGCTAGCCAGATCTCTTAATATGGTAGCTTGGGGTTCCAAAAGGGAGAATTTCAAGAGGACAAGCCCAGTGTGCAGGTGCTAATCAAGCCTCTGCTTGCATCATGCTTGCTAATGTCCTGTTGGGCAAATAAGCTTATGTAGACCTGTTAGAACTGTCTGTACTTTGTATTACTGGGCATCTTCCTACAGTGATATACCCCAAATATCTTGGATACCCTGCTATATTTAATGATTCAAAAATTGTGATAAAGTCTATTATAGATAGACTTTGCTATGGTCTTTTCACTCAGATTCTGCAAAAGAAAGTTATAAAGCCACTTTAAATCTGGTTAGGCCTAAGAGATGGAAGCAGGAGAAATATTGTATATCCCAATGCTCTTTTCCTCCAAATTTCCCTCTTTTGACATATGCAAGTGTTTCCATTGTTAGAATTATGTTCTGCGGCCCTTTTGTTTTTCTTGACCCTGACAGTGAGCGAGTGTCTTTCATTTTCTGTCACCTGTTCTGTAGAGTTATTTCTCTCTCCTGTGGATCCAGGATCTGTTCCATCTTCTCATTACTCTGCTCACCCACCCCCACTTTTTCTGCTAGAAAACCTAGGGATTTTGGAGCTGGATAGACCTAGATTCACATTCCAGCTCCCCCGCATGTTAATTTTGTAACCTTGGGCGAAAGTATTTGATCAATCGTTTCCTCATCACTAAAATAGTAGTATTAAAACTATGCTTGACAGGTTGCTTGTGAAAATAAAGTTGAGGTTAATTAAAATAGTCTATTTAAAGTAATTGGCACATAATAAATAGGCTTTAAATCTTATCTTCTTCCCTCTATTCTTCAAAATCTAGTTTAAATGTCATCTCTTCACTTGCTCTGTGAGCCTATTCTTATACAAATTTGTGCAAATTCTTCTATAAATTCTTATACAAATATCACACTATCTTCATTACTGTTGCTTTATAGGATTTAAGTGTTGAAGTCAGGTAGTGTAAGCCCTCCGATTTGTTCTTCTTTTTTCATAATCTTTTGGCTTTTCTCGATCCTTTTGCATTTCCATATAAATTTTAGAATCAAGTTAAGAATTAAAAAAGGCTGCTGGGATTTTAATTGGGACTGTGAGGAATCTATAAAACAATTTCTGGGGAATTAACAATACTGAGTCTTCGGATCTGTTAATATGGCAAATCTCCCCATCTACTTGAGTCTTTAATTACTTAGCTATGTTTGTAGTTTTTGGAGTATAGTTCTTGCACATATTTTATTAAATTTATTTTTAAGTATTTGATGTATGTACTACTATTGCATATAGGTAGTTTTTAAAATTTTTCATTTTTTTGGTTTCTTGCCAGGTTGTAAACATCTGATTATTCTTGTATATTACCCTTATATCTAGCAATTTTTATTAACTTCCATTTCAAATTATTTTCTGACTTTTATTTTGGTTATTTAGAAGTTAGTTGCTTAATTTCTATAATTTCTATACATTTAAAAATTTATAGTTTTATTTTTGTTAAGGAATTTTAGTTTACTTGATTGGTGGTAGGAAACATATTCTGATTTCAATCTTGTAAAATCAATTGAGACTTGCTTTATGTCTCAATATAGTACTTATTTTAGTGAATGTTCCAAGTCTACTTGAAAATAATGTGTATACTACAGGTATTGGTTATAGAGATTTGTACGTGTCATTTAAGTAAATTTGGCTATTTGTGTTGTTCAAATATTCTATATCCTTTCTGATTTTTTGGCGTAGTTGTTATAGCAATTCCTGAGAGAGATTTGTTAAAACTTCCAACTGTGATTGTGGATTTAGTTGTGTCAATTTTTGTTTTATATACTTTGCAGTTACAAAGATGTGTACCTGATGAACTCACCCTCTCTATTTTATCATTATGAAATGTTTATCTTTCTCTTGGGTAACACTCCTTGTCTTAGTTTACTTTGTGTGATTAGTATAGCCATGGTTACTGTTTGAATGACGTAGCTTTTCCATCCATTTATTTTCAGCTCATCTGTGTGCTTATATTTAAAATGTCTTTGGTAAATAGCATATGGTTGGTCATATTTGTTTTAAAATTCAGTCTGGGGTGCTGGCCCCGTGGTGTTAAGTTTGGCACACTCCGCTTCAGCGGCCTGGGTTCACGGATTCAGATCCCGGGCGTGGACCTACACCACTTGTCCACCATGCTGTAGTGGCAACCCACATACGAAATATAGGAAGATTGGCACAGATGTTAGCTCAGGGCTTATCTTCCTCAAGCGAAAAAAAGAGGAAGATTGGCAACAGATGTTAGCTCAGGGTGAGTCTTCCTCAGCAAAAAAAAAAAAAAAAAAAAAATCCAGTCTGGCACTAGCTGTCTTTTAATCATTTCATGCAATTACTGGTGCAGTTGGGTTTATGTCTTCCCTCTTGCTCTTTGTCCTGTATTTTTCCCATCTGCTCGTTATTCCTTTAATCTTTTGGAAAAATCAATTATTTTTTATAGTATAAAATTATTTTTTAATATTTTATATATAATATTTAATATTTTAATAAATATTAATATTTAAAAATAAGTTATTTTTTATTATACTATTTTAATCTTCATTATTGGCTTTTAGTTATATTTGTAGCATATGATTTTTTTAAAGACATTACAGTATGCATCTTTAAATCATAATAGTCCACCTTGAATTAGTATTTTACCACTTCACAGACCACATACGAACCATAACAGTTTAGTTCCATTTAGTGCCTCTCTCCAGACTTTGTGCTATCATATATTTTACTTTTACATATGTTAAAAACCTCAAAAAATGTTGATATTGTTGTCTAAGCAGTCAGTGGTCTTCAATGGTTTTCTGAATAGCCTTTCATATTTGCCCACATATTTACCCTTTCTCGTGTTCTTCATTCCATCATGTGGATTCATGCTTCTGACAAGGGTTGTCTTCCTTCAGTTTGAAGAAATTTTCTTTAGTATTTCATATTCCTTGTAGCATGAGTGTGGTGGTGATGCGTTCTCTCAGTTTTTTTTTTTTTTTTTTGGTCTGAAATTGTCTTTTATTTTGCTTTCATTTTTAAATGGTAGTTTAACTGGATATAGAATTCTATTTTGGCAGGCTTTTTTTTGCTTTCAGCACTTTTAAAGATGCCATTTCTTTGTCTTCTTGTTTCCATTGTTTCTATTCTGAATTCAGTCATCATTGTTTTTGTGTTTCCTCTGAATGTAGTATATCTTTTTTCCTCATTGTTTTTGTGTTTCCTCTGAATGTAGTATATCTTTTTTCCTGGCTGCTGTTTTCTTTTCTTCTCAGCATTTTGACTTTGATGTGCCTATGCGTGGTTTTCTTTGTATTTACCCTGCTTGTGGTTTTCTCAACTTCTTGAAGCTGTGCATTAATGTCTTGAGCTTGTTTTGGAATATTCTTCTTCATTATTTCTTCAGCTATTTCTGCTGCATTATTTTATATATTGTCTCCTTATGGGCCTCTAATTACACATATATTGGATGATTGGACAGCATCCCATATATCTTTGATGCTCTTTTCTGGTTTACCTTTCTTTCTCTTTTTCTCTGTGCTTCAGTTTGGATAATTTCCATTTACATATCTTTACTGTGTGCAGTTTGCCATTAAGCCTATCCAGTCACTTCTTAACTTTAGATTATAGTTTTAAACTCAAGCATGTCCATTTGATTTTTTAAAATTCTGTTTCTCTGTTGCAATTCTGCATCTTTCATTCATTTTGTTCATTTTTTCATCAATTTTCTTTAACATGTATATAATACAGTCATGCACCACATAATGACATTTCAGTCAATGATGGACCACATATACGATGGTGGCCCATAAGTACTGTATAGCCTAGATGTGTAGTAGGCTATACCATCTAGGTTTGTGTAAGGAGATTCTATGATGTTTGTGCAATAAAAATTGCCTAACGATGTGTTTCTCAGAACGTATCCCCATCGTTAAGTGACTCACTACTGTAGTTATTTTAAAATCCTGGTCTGTTAATTTTAACATCTGGATCATTTATGGACCTGCTTTTATTGATGTTTTTTCCTTGTGATTATGGGTCACATTTTTTTGTTATTTTGAATGTCCTATAATTTTTATTTGTTTGACAGATATTGTTTCTAAAAGAATCATAAAGATTGAACTGATAGTATTTTCTCCAGAAGAAGGCATGTCTTCTTTCAGAGTGCTAGGGTGAGGGACTAATCACTTTGAGCCAAAGAAAAGTTAAACAAAAGCAAAAATCAACAAGTGGGACTACATCAAACTTAAAAGCTTCTGCACAGCAAAAGAAACTATCAACAAAATGAAGAGGCAACCTACAGAATGGAGGAATGTTTTTGCAAACCATATATAAGATAAGGGATTAATATCCAAAATATATAAAGAATTCATTCAACTCAATAACAAAAAAACAAACAATCTTATTTAAAAACAGACAGAGGAACTAAATAGACATTTTTCCAAAGAAGACATCCAAATGGCCAACAGGTACATGAAAAGATGCTCAACATCACTAATCAACAGGGAAAGCAAATCAAAACCACAATGAGATATCAATTCACACCTGTTAGAATGACTGTCATCAAGAAGACAAGAGATAACAAGTATCAGCAAGGATATGGAGAAAAGGGAACTCTTGTACACTCATGGTGGGAATATAAATTGGTTCAGCCACTGTGAAAAACACTATGGAGGTTCTTGAAAAAATTAAAAATAGATCTACCATATGATCCAGCAATTCCTCTTCTGGGTATAGACCCAAAAGAAATGAAAACAGAATATCAAAAGAGTTAAATGCACTCTGATGTTTATTGCAGCATTATTCATAATAGCCAAGATATGGAAACAATCTAAGTGCCTGTGAGTGGATGAATGAATAAAGATGATGTGGTATATCTATACAATGGAATATGATACAGCCATGAGAAGGAAGGAAATCCTGCCATTTGAGCAACATGGATGGACTTTGAGGACATTATGCTAAGTGAGATAAGTCAGACAGAGAAAGACAAATACTGTATGATCTCACTTTTGTGTGGAATCTAAAAAAGCCAAACTCATAAAAACAGAGTAAAATGGTGGTTACCAGGGGTTGGGGGGGATTAAGAGAGATGTTTAAGGGTACAAACTTGCAACTAGTAGTAAATAAGTCCTAGAGATCTAATTCAGAGTATAGTGAATATAGACAACAATATTGTATTATATTCTTCAGACTTGCTAAGAGACTAGATCTTAATTATTCCAACCACACGAAAAAATAATAATTATGAGATGTGATAGAGGAGCTAACTATATGTAAATTTATCAAATCAACATGTTGTATACCTTAAATTTACACAATGTTATATGTCAAATATATTTCAATTAAAAAATAAAGGGAAGAAAAGTTGAACTGGGTCCAGCCTGGGTTGTAGTAGTTTTAGTTTACTTCTGGAATCAAATCCCTTTGAGAGTACAATCTATTCAGTTTTTATTACCGGCCTCTTTCTCTATTGGTATCTAACAACTATAAGACTACAGAGAAGTATTTCTGGCTTTCCATCCTCGCCTCCATCCTCCTACACCACTACATACTCACTAAAATTGCTGTTGGAGAGACCCAACAGGTAAAGAGAACCAGATCTGTGGGGCTCCTCTAGATTTCACACTAGCCCACATGACCATTGAAAACTCCATTGGATTCTCTGTCCCAGCAGAATCTCTCTGCCTATTACAGACCTGATCTCTGCCAATCTGTGTTCAGACTTGACAAATGGCCCTAAAGTAGAAAGTGGCTACTCATCTCTGCTCACCTAGGAGGAACTTTTCCCTCTCTGATATTTAGTTCCTTTACACTACTTTTTATCCACAGCTTTCTAATGTCTTAAAAAATATGATTGTTTAGTTTACCTGTTTTTTTCTAGTAGTTATGATGAAAGTATAGTCTATTATGACCTTCTTTCTTCTAAACAGAACTCCTTGAGTTTCTTTTTAATTATCTTGTGCTGCTATCCTTGGAATTCATTGTAGGATTATTATTTAATCAAAACTTTATAACAAGAGTCTTTTGGTGTGTTAATAGCTGAACTTTCTTAGAATGGGGTGAAGAGTAACTTATTTTACAAATTCCCATTGCACAGTGAGATTTCTAGTTTCTTCAAAAACTTTTTTTAAGACATTGAAATATAAATTGTAAGTATATAAATAAAGATGTGATATTTTATAAGTTGGATAAATAACTCAATGAAGTGTTGATTATACTTCTTTCAGTCTAGCTATTTTACTCCTATTGCTCTGGTTTGTTCAGCATCCACTTGGGGGTGATGTTTTTATAACTTTTTCCTTTGACTTCAAAATGACTAGAAAAGCATAAGAGAAGGTATTAAGCCTATAGAATGAAAACCTTTCATAAAGTTTTAAAGATACTCTTGTGCAATAGTTAAAATTTTGAAAGAGCTTCACTAGATTGTGCCCATTGACCAAATACTAACATCAGATTGTTTCTAAATGAAACTATTAGGCCAATCATCAGTTTTCTGTCTTAAGTTGTAATATTGCTTTGCACTGATTAGTATAGAAATGATTGATGAAATTGTGGTCTGGAAAATTAGAGTGACTTTTAGAAATTTTAAAATGTCTAATAGGCTAATTTATTGAATTATTGTACTCTAAGATTTTAATAGTGTACTAGAACATAAGGATACATTTGTTTATGATTCATACATAATAGATTTCAGCTATATATTGTTTATATTGTCAGATTTTAGTAAAAGTTTTCTTTAAGAGAGTTTGCCATGAAATAAATGAATTTATTTCTAATTCGATCTGAGCAATCTTCATTAAATAGTTTGAGGAATCCTCATTGTACACTATTTTATGAAAATTAATGAACTCAGAAAAATTCTAGAGTCCATTAGTGATCACAGTTTTAACTCAATATTTTTTTAAGGAGGAAGATATTTTGGATCTTCTGGAGCAATGTGAAATTGATGATGAAAAGCTGATGGGCAAAATTGCCAGGCCTCGAGGACCCAAGGTGCAGTACCTCTACCTTCCTTAGTATCAGAGTTGTTTGCACAACTACTAAGTACAGTTGAGTTGTTTTTCCCTTTATGTTTCTCGCTAGAAGAATGACTGATGCCACTTTCAAGAAACTGAATGGATTGTGTGTCCAGTGCAGATAGAGTTGGGAAGACGGTGTTATCTTATACTCAGTTCTGTTTTGTTTTGTTAGTTTCCCTCATTATTTTGATTCTTTCTCTAATGCTGGTGAAAGCCCTGTGAGTCAGGGCCAAGAGGGACCCAGAACTAGTACCCTTATTCTGTACGCAGTACAGGCATACCTCAGAGCTATCGCATATTCAGTTCCAGACACTGCAGTAAAGCAAATATCACAATAAAGTGAGCCACACAAATTTTTTGGTTTCCCAGTGCATATAAAAGTTGTGTTTACACTACACTGTAATCTATTAAGTGTGAAATAGCATTATGTCTAAAAAAATGTGCATACCTTAATTGAAAAAGTTCTTTGTTGCTAGAAAATGCTAACCATCATCTGAGCCTTCAGCAAGTCATAATCTTTTTACTGGTGGAGGGTCTTTTTAAAAATGCATTATCTGTGAAAAGCAATAAAGCAAAGTGCAATAAAATGAGGTATGCCTGCATTAAGTTTTCTTCATATCTCTAGATATATAATTATCAGAGACATGAGTAGCGTTACAGATAAGGCAAATCATGACTCTAAAGATCCTGACGGGGAGCCCCATCTTTTGCTGACCCAGCAACACTGACATAGTGTTAGTTAAAATAGGTAGAGTTTCTAGGAATAAGTAGAAAGCTGTCATGCTGGCAAAAATGGGCAGGTGTTTGCTTAACCTTCATCTGCTCTGTGGTGATGACATCCGTATGTTCTTTTGTAATGTGTCCAAGTCCTTGCCATAGAGTGGAAAAGAGCTGAATTTGTGAAATCTTGGAAACTTTTTTCATTCTGCATTTTTTACTTTACATTTCAGCAATACTAAGCCGTCTCTGTGTCCTTACACATATCATGCTCTGTTGTGCTTTCATGCTTTTTCTATGTCTCTGGAATGCTTGTCTATTTTTAAAAAATCATTCATTCATTTCTTGATTAGAGACCCCCTCCTAATCCAGCTGAACCATTGCTGCCTTTGTGAAATCTTCCCTCCCTCCCCAGATAGACTTAGGTCTTCCTTCCTCTCCTTCTCCTGCTGTGCCGCAAATGACACTTCTATAGAGCAGTTGTGACAAATAATTGCTTGCGTGTTTGCCTTCGTATGAGCTTGTAAGTTCCTTGGGGGTCGCAAGTATATTTTCATCTTTACATCTCTAGCACCTAGCACAGCGTCTGGTGCTTAGTAGGTTCTCCAAACACATTAGTTAAATTTGTTGAATGTGTCCACAAGGACCTCATTGTCTAGTGGAAGAGCCAAGAGGTGAACTAAAAACCAGAGTATATTGTGGCAAGTACAGTAATAAAGGGAGTGGAAAGTGCTACAGCAGCTTGGAGAAGAGAGAGACTGGTAGACTGTGGATGGCTTCATAAAGGAAGTGCTATTTGCATTGAGTCTTGGCAAATGAATGTTGCTCTAAACATTTAAGAGGAATGGAAGGACAGTTAGGATAGTGGGAACATTAAAGGCAAAGACATGGCGGTGTGACACTGCATAGGGTGTTGGAGAAACAACGAAGAATTTGGTATGACTCAAGTGGATGATTCTCAGAGAGTAAAATGGTACAAAAGGAACCTGGTGAAAGGTACATAGTATCTGGTGGAGACCAGAGACCTTGGATGTCAGGCACTATTCCTCTGAATTATGTGCTCTATATTGAAGAATTGTGGAAGATGTCATTGATAATTCCTTTGGGACAAATATATTTTAGGTATCTATAGAAGTGAATACCTTCATGAGTCATTGCTTCACTTTGGAAAACATTGGGAAGTTTCCAAGATTTATATATTAATTATTGCAATTCAGCAAACCAGACTCGAGACAACCTGGGGGCACAATATTCATGGCAGAATGGCAAATGCAAAGGCCCTGAGACAGCCTTCTACTGTCTTGTATTTTCCTTTGCCTCATCAAATAAAGTTTATCATCCAAATAAAAATATAACCTCCTGGAGGGCAGAATTCATATTGTGTGTTTTTTCAACCCCTCTTATTCCAGGCAAGTAGGAGGAACTAATAGTGTATTTGTTGAAATGAAATGAATCGGTTAGTTCCTGTAGTTATTAATGCAAGCAATACTTCAAAGTGGATGAAAGCTGCATAATCAGTCGGAAGTAAAAGGATTTGTGTAACTTTTAGCCTTGCCTTTCCTTGTAACTTAAGGCTTAAGTTCCTTGTAACTTAAGCCTTTCCTTTTTAGAGGGACATTATCACATGCCAAACATTAATTTCCAGTGTGTTTGCTGGTGGAAGAATAACTGAAGATAATCAAGGTTAAATGAAGCCTGTACTAGGAGAAATAATAACTTCTCACTTATTTGAGAATATAAAGGTGCATAAATAATAAACACCACGTAAAGTATTAGCATTGTTCTTTTTCTTCAGCTTAGATACATGGGCATTTGTTTTATTATTCTTTAGACCATTTATATATTTTTTTATATATGACCCAGTTTATAGTAAGATTGGACATAAAAATAAGTAGCATGGTTGGTGTCAAAACTCAATGCTGGTTTACAGATTCCATTTTGTAGTTAAGGCACTCTTGAGAGTTTATGCTGCTGTGACTTATTATTAATTATTGCTTGAACAGTGTATTGGTCAAAAAGTCCCAAATGCGTATATGACATGAAGGTTCAGCTCTCCGTTTCCCCTTTTGATTCTTTATAGGATCGAATAACTCATTATGTAGTCAAGCTCCTTAAGAAACCTTAAAGCTGTTTGCCTACATGAAGGAAGGCACTCCTAGCAAGCCTGAATGTGCCACTGTTTCTTCTGGGTATGCTAGACTTCTGAAGAAACATCCTTCCTCTAGAATTCATATTCCCCAAGACTGTCAAAATGTTTGATGATTGTGTTCCTGGTAAATGTTTTTATGCATATCTCTTTGAACGTTGTTAGTGCTCAGTAAATATTAGACGATCAAAAGGAGAACATACTTTTAAACACAAGCTGTTCCTTAGTGTATTAAACTACTTTCCTGCTTTGGTTATTTTTCATCTTTTGCAAAGGCGGTAACTTTAAGACGATCATGCTTTGGCTTACTGTGTATTCCAGGCACTTCATGAAATGCTATTTCTCTCTTTATCTTTCATCCTACACTGGTACTCAAGAGGATATACCTTATTGCAGTGAAATCCCATGGTAACCAAGGATTTCATTATGGTGTATGCTAACATCAAAACATTTTTGTTTGATTTAACAGAGAACAAGAAACTAGTATATAACTGCGGGAGCCTTTCCCAGCAGGAATAAGAGGCATATGGTGTGTGTAACAAATAGTTTCTTAAAATTATTAATTTCCAAACTGTCTTGTTCTTGGATGTGCACATTCTTCTGAAGTGAAGCTGTCGTACTTCCTGTGTCTCTTATTCCTTCAGCTGGCATCATTGGAAACACATTGATTGGGAGGCTTGGAGACAAGTGATTCTAATGGAGCTATTAGAACATAATAGCATGGCATTTTGAGTCTTTACAGATTTATCCTTCCACGTGGTGCCTATCCTCTAAAAAATTCATGCCATACTGATTTTTATATTATATCAGTTTTTTTTATTGTAGCATGGGCAGTGAAAAGCAGTGTTGCTCTATTATGACCAGACCCTATGTGTCAGAGTTAGGAATCCTCCGAGAAAAGACATAACTTGTTCATAACCAATTGGAAAGAGAATAATTAACTAAAAATTTTTATTTGTAAAAATGTCCACAGCGAATTAGACATGTAAGGAATATCCTTGCTTCTTGTTGCACACTGTTTGAGTGGATAGGCTCTTAGGCTCTGTTTTCAGATGTGGACTTACTTTACCTATAGTTTATCTGGCTGCCACTTTCTTATTCTCTCTGCCCCTCCTTCCCGTCCTCCGCTCTTCTTCTCCTCTTCTCTCTGTTACAAGCACACACACACAAACACACACACATTTATTGAGTGACTCTCAACATTAATGATACAGCAAAGGTACATCTCTGAGTCTTGAGTAATGAATGATATCTCTGCATGGAATGAAGGAAAACTGATTATGTTTCTGATTTTTATATTTTTATCTCAAATACTTCCCCTGTATTTTGTTATTCTTTGTTTGTGGATACTCTGGTCCTTTATTCCAATGATGTAGAAACAACGTTTTCCTTATCATGACTGAAGTATATCACTGAAGAAAGAATATTTTACGGAAACAGAATGATTAGTGAATAGCGTGTAGGCCAATGGCAGCACTGTAGCAATAGTACTTTGGGGGATTTTCAGACTTCAGTAAAAAGCAGAAAGCATAAGTGGGAAATAAAAAATAGTAACTAGTCATGTTAATAAGCTTTTTTTTTTGAATTCTAACAAAATAACGCATTTCCCTCTGTTTTAGCCTCTGTCTTCCATGCCCGAGAGTACTGAGATAATGAAACGACAGAAGTACTGCAGCAGCGACAGCAGCTATGACAGTAGCAGCAGCTCTTCAGAATCAGATGGAAATGAGAAGGAAGAATACCAAACTAAGAGAGGAGAAAAGCAAGTTACATATAATCTTAAACAGTCCAGCCACTACAAATTAATTCAACAATCCAGTAAGTTAATTTCTTCTAATGTAGTTGTTAATGGAAGAATTATGAAACTGAAATTACTGAACTCAATAAAAGGACCTCGGGCCAAATGAATCCTCGTTGTGTGTGAGGAGACCTGGATGCTCTCCTGCTTCCTTCCCTAACCAGACTGGGCACATCCCGCAATCCCTTCCGGGGCCTGCAAATAGAAAACAAAAGGATCTCTATAAGCCATCCTTTATACTTCATGATACTTGTTAAGTCCTAGGTGTTTGCCTGGATTTTATAAAATGCGACCCATGGCTGATCGCTGATTGCATTCTCTTTTAAGCCAATATGTATTCTCTTTCCACTCTCCGCTTTTCCTACCTCTGTCACCCATTTTGCTTTATAGTCTCGCCTATTTTTAAAAATCTGTGTATCTCTCTAGGCATTTGACTTGCGTGTGTTTGTGAGCCACGCAGTTGTGAAAGAGTCAGAGTTTTGTTCCCTCGCCTTTTCTTCCTGGGGAAGAACTTAAGTCAGTGCTTTTGGTGTACAGGAAGTATTTGGCTTCTCTGTCTGCTTCCTTTCCTGCTTCCCCTCTTCTCTTTCTTCCTTTATTTCTTTTCACATTTTCTCTCTCTCCCATTCTCCTGTCTTTCATTCCTTCTTGGATTCCAATGTTCCCTATGGTGTCCACGATTCTCCTTTCATCCCCCAGCGTCCAGTGCGGTATTGCTGTTTCCCTGGGCTCCGTTTGGTACCCCTTCCTGATGCTGCCTCCAATGCAGGACTTGATTACCTTCTGTCTCTTGTGTCTCTGCCTTGTCCTGCATTGTCCTCGGGCTCCACTAAAGGGACCAGTTCGGTCGTGTAACACACACAATCGTGAGCCTTTGTTGATCTCCAGCAATGGTGTAAATATTAGCTTCCCTGATAATGTGTATATTTTAAACCCGGCCTTCAAGACTATGGCAAAATGCTTGGAGAATGCAGAACTAATAGATGAAAATTTTAATGGTATTTCTTTTACTTCCAAATTATTCCATCAAGATACATGTTAATGTTCCTGTCTTTGAGAGTTTATATGTTTGGAGGGGAGGTAATGTATTTTGTGCCATTTCATTTATTTATTTACTTATTTAAGATATGTTTATTGAGCACCTGTTCTAGAGTTTGTAAGCTATTTTATCGACTGCTTCCTTTTTTCTTAAAGATGCCTTATGTACTTTCAGTGTGTCTCTGTGTAAGTATGGCTCTGTTTCTCTTTTGGAAGCTGACATTGTCCTGCCCAGATTTCACAGTTTTTAAGCTCCTCGCTTATTGGTTAATGTGTGCCTCTGTAACAGCCTGAACTGACAGAGGATAAAGGCAGGGTTGAGAAAAAATTACTAGGGTTCCTATAGCTCTGAGATAGTTCTTTGTTCTCAAACCAATAGGTTAATCAACTGAGATCAGACAAATAGAGTACTAAAAGTGTTTTTAAGTGTGAATTCTCATTTTAAAGCTAGTCTAATTCAATTACATATCTTTTTCCTTGTTAGTTATATTTTATTTTTATAGTCATTAGAAACTGCAGGAAGGGTTTCACTTTGTTTTATATTCTCTCTTTAATTTATACTAAAGAATATCATAGCCACAGACCCTCTTTGAGTTTCTCTCCAAAGTAATGCTGAAGACCAAGGGCAAAATCCAGATTATATGTGACACTTTCTATTGTAGATAGTTAACTTAGGAAGTTCAAACTTATTATACTTTCAAAGGATGTATTTTGGTTTGCTATAAGTTAGTCTTGTATAAAACTATATGAGGGGCCAGCCCAGTGGCATAGTGGTTAAGTTTGCCCACTCTGCTTTGGCACCCCAGGGTTCGTGGGTTCAGATCCTGGGCACAGACCTATGCACTGCTCAACAAGCCACGCTGTGGTGGCATCCTACATACAAAAAAAAAAAAAAAAAAAAAAAAATAGAGGAATATGGGCACAGATATTAGCTCAAGGCTAATCTTCCTCAGCAAAAAAAGAGGAAGATTGGCAATGGATGTTAGCTCAGGGCCAATCTTCCTCACCAAAAAAAAAAAAAACCACAAAAAAACTATATGAAATATTTTTCTCACATAATTTGTGTATACAAGTTACAACCATTTGATGTTAATCTACTTAAATATCATTGGCATATCTAGCTATATAGTTATTCTGTCTGAATTTCCAGTGTATGCAGGGGAAAAATGGGAATCTGTGATGATTCAAGAGAGAGGATATTTTCCTTCTGTATCCATTATCAGGTTATATATGTCCAAACCATCACCTTAAGCCCTCAAAGAAATCATGACCAAGATGTAGGTAGTAGCACATGCCTTTAGGTGTTTTCTTGGTAGAAGATTGACCAGTGGTATGTTCCCCACACAGCCTTTCTTTAGAAGCACTGTCTTTTCAAAAAATGGTCAGACTTTCAGGTTGACAAGGAAGTTAATATTTGGAACAAATGGAAGCTTTTTTTTTAACATCTTTTATAGAATGAATATACTTTTTTGTACTCTCCAGAACCAAATGAGGAGTATTAGGCTTGTCATCTATCCAAAATATCCTTTAGAAATACATCCCTAAATATAAGATTTATGTCTGTTGCCTTTATAAAGGTTTAAACTTTTTTCAACAGCTAATGAAGAGAAATATTTGAGTATTCAACTTGCCTTCATTTGAGTTTTATTAAATTATTTAATTAATGAAGATTGATATATTCCCCAAGCAGAGAGAGAATATAGAACAGAGGGTATATAGAATGTATATGAGCTAAAAAAGGATGTAAATGTTGATAATATTGAGTGATATTCTATTTCCTTGGTTGGTTGGTTCTCTTTTTAAAATGTTCTCAATAGGCAATGGGGAAGATATTCTGTGGTTTTCCCTATTGTTTGTTCTGATAACAACTCTTTAGATCCAGGCATTTTGCCTTCACTTAAATCTTTTACTATGGAAATTTAAATCTAGGTTTTTTTGTTATTCTTCTCTCTTGTGAATAAGTAGACTGTCTAGTACTACTCTTATTATATATTTAAACTTATAAAATAATTTAAACTTATAAAATAATAAAACTTTAAATAATTATATATTTAAACTTGATTAGGATAATCTTTATGTTTTTCTTCTGTTTTATTATTATTATTTTTTCTCATAGGCTCTAAATTCTGTAACTTATCCATCTATCCTGGACATTCTGTAGCCTCCTTTCCATCCCTCCCTATAATTCTCACTGTAAATCTTCTCGTTCTAACCTATACACAGATTCTGATAAATGACCACTCTAATCCAAGGATAGTGGATGGCATCATGGCATTATGGGAAGAGGGAGGACACTGGTATTGGATAGGTCAGCATTTAAACCAGAGCTTAGCAACTTTCTTGTCATATGACCTTGAGAAAGTTCTTTCTCTGAGCCTCCAGGTGATGGAGATTCTTACTTCAAATGGTTTCTGGGAGAATTAAGATAAAAGTGCAACACTTAGCACGATGCCTGGCTAAGAAGAAGGTGCTTCATAAATGTTAGTTTTCCTTTCTTCTGGTTCTTTTATGTCATGTTTCAAGAATAGAACATTAAAGTACTGTTTAAGTATTATTCTCATTCTAGCCATTCGTCATACATGACAGGGGTTCTGCACCAAGTTCACTGTTTAAATTGGAGAATTAACTCCCAACTCATCTTCTCATGATGATGCCTATGCTTTGACATTTATTGCCTCCCTGCTACCACGTGGTCTAATCGTTGGTTTATATAGACCTAATACAGTGAGAAACTTCTGCTAGTTCTGCTGGTTATACTCTCCTTCTTCTCACCACTGATAGGCTCCATCAGGCGTTCAGTCAGTTGCCCTCGGTCCATCTCTTCTCAATCACCGTCCAGTGTGGACAACCGCCCCTTCTCTGCTCAACAACTGATAGCATCCCGGCCAATGTCAGGGTCTCGGTCACACTCTTTAAACCGTGCTTCCTCCTACATGAGGCATCTGCCTCACAGTAATGATGACAGCTCCACTGACTCTCAGATGGTAAGTCGTCTGTTTTGCTCCTTCGAGATTACAGGAAGCACTTACTCAGGATTTAGGTGGCAAAGGGATCAGCTGGGAGGAGCACAGATTGAACCTCAGATCCTTTCTATAATTCAACTCATGGTTTCCTGGAATTTGGATTTTTCATCTATCTTAGCCTATGACTTAGTATGGGCTCTTAAATTCAGACTTCACTGTATCACAGAACTCAGGGATCGACACTGAGAATAGCATTTTATTTTCCATTTGCTGATTGAGTAGATAATTTTGCTGGAAAATCATCTGAGTAAATATATGATTTTGCATTGTATTGTGCAGTATATCTGTAAATTTGGGGAAATTTGTTGTATGGAAAATTTTTCTTAATGGGACTATTGATTAATAGGTTAAAAAAATAAACCATTGATAAATTGTCCTTAGAGCCCTGAAGTACAATATTGTTTATAATGTTTTCTGTATATTAAATTAACATATAGTATTCCCTTCTTAGCATGAATCCCAGAGATTCACTATTGAGGAAGTCAGTGAGTTTATTTTGTAATCAGGCTTACTTATAGATGCTCAGATAGATAGCTCCAAGTACCTTTACATAGATGGGAGATTTATTTAATTTGTTTATTTAATGTGGATATTTCCAAAGGGAAGAGTCTAGAAAATATAAGTGAATGAGTTTCGCTTGGTAACAATGAATGATTTTTTTTTTTTTTTTCTGATCAAGAATCGCCTAAGGTATATGTAGCAAATGAAACTGACCAGGAAGTCTTTTTAAAACACTCATTATTTTTATTTTAGTATTTTGAGCTAAATAAAATACAACTATGTGAAAGTGTGAAAGATACTCTTGGGAGATCATATACATTTAATCCTAAGAATAAATGTAAAAAAATCATTTTCTTCCTTTTTCATTGTTATTTTTTTCAATTAAAAGTGCATCATTTTTACCTAGGAATATCTTTCAGATTATAGTGGCACAATGAAATAAGACCCCCTCCAAATATCTGTATTCTTTCAAATTTAAGAGTGAGTCTTTGCGGCAACTGAGAACAAAAGAACAAGAAGACGATCTAACAAGTCAGACCTTGTTTGTTCTCAAGGACATGAAGATCCGGTTTCCAGGAAAATCAGATGCAGAATCCCTGCTTCTGATAGAAGATGTGAGTATTTGATGTATATAAAATTCCAAGGAGCTCATACTTTTTTATTCTTCTTCTTAAAATATTGATGGCATTATTTTTTCCTGATGGCATTATTCTCAATGACATAGTAAACTTAATTGATGTTCTTTTCAACCTCCACAAGCTTTAAAATATACAGAGGTTATTTTAATTATTATGATTCATGAGCAGTGAGATCACATTTATAATCAGCGACGCAAAAGATCTTTTAGTGTATAGTCCTATTTTAATGATACAACTGCTTCATCAAGTGAGAATAATTAATGTTAAATAATTATTGTTCTTAACGATTAAAGAAATATCAAGTTAAGCCTGCTTCCATAAAGATTTAGAAAGATCTAATATGGAATGAGATATAATGAGAAAACTGGGGCCTTGGGCATAAATGTCAAGAATATTTGAATGTGACACCTTGTATGGTTTTGGTCAAATTTTGAAATGGCTTATGTTGTGTGTATTTTTCTTATTACACACATATTTGCACCACCCAGTGGAATGTTCTGTAATGGCCAGGAGTCCTAAAATTCACATGAAAGTCAATGACTTACTCCTAATTTAGAAAGAAGGTCCAAGTTATTCAAATATTTTTTGGCGAAAGAGCATTTCTTCATTCAAAGTTCTATTTCTTCATTCAAACATCCTTTTCAAATTGTCATTTCTAGATAATTCGTCAGTAATAGAATGTTGTTTTCTGGTTTCCCTTTATTTTTTTTCCAGAGGAGAAGGCACCATCTGGTGGCCAGTTGTGGGATAAAAACCATAGCCAAACGCTTGGCTTTTTTCACTTTTTAGCATTACTTTAGATCTGTCTAAAGCAACTGTCTAGAAACAAAGAACAAACAAATAATAGTAAAAAAAGACTTTCTTATTTTAAAAAATCAATACCGGCAATTTCTATTTTGTAATCATGACATAGCTATAACCAAAACCCCCAAATATTATGCAGTCTATTGTTATATATTTTTTAAAAAATGAAAAGGGTATCTTGTTTGCGAATGAGCAGCTGTTTTTTATGATAAGAGAAAAAGAAGAAAGATGAGCCTTAGTTGTAAAGTATTGTGATAGATGTGTTTTTATTTATAGATGTTATCTTATTCATTCAAGTCCTTTTCTAAGTAAAACCAATGTCTTTGTACCAGACATTTTACTTATATTTTTAAAAGATATTAGTTATCTACCACCTTTATGAATCAGGTAGAAGAAAAATGGGACAATCAGAGAGTAGAAATAATATTTGTGGCTAATGTGATTGTTCTGTAAAGAACATAGTTAGGCTTATATAGTTAATAAAATATAATTAATAATTCTATAAGACGTTAGATTGTTTGCTATATGTTCATTATATGCAGCAAATATTTTAATGCTTGCTACAGCATATATTACTGGAATATATATTCAGAAATTTTGTAGATTTGCACAAAGAAAACAAAACATAGGTTATCTTCTAATGTATTATTCAGTAATCTGTTATTATGGGTGATGTGGTAAATACAGCTCTTGGAAGTAAAGTGGGAAATCTATATGTTTTGGGCTTCTTCCCAAACCTTATGTGCCTGAAGACTTTTGGCTTTCATTCATTAGAGATTGTGTGCGTTTTACAACAAGATGAGACATCTTTGGAGTCAGATGGCTTCTTTACCTTATGTTAGAAATCTTTGCACGTCTTTTTATGAAAGTAGACATTATTTATTGCAAGTAATATTATAGTGCCTTCATTTGACAAATTAATTAATAAAATTGGTTTCAACACATTTATTTACTTTTTGTTACTTTTAAGGAAAATTCTAGGTTAAATTTCTTAATGTTTCTCTCTCAAAACAGATCATTGATAACTGGAAGTATCATAAAACAAAAGTGGCTTCATACTGGCTCATAAAATTGGACTCTGTAAAACAACGAAAAGTGAGTGATGCCCCCAAACATGTTTGCCCTTTTGGATTATGTATTAAGCTAGGATCATTAAGCCACATTCATAATCAAAATACGTATATGTTCATTTGTTTACTCATTTCTTCAACAAATATTTATTGTGTACTTCCTATGTTTCAGGGGCTGTTCTAGGTTCTGAGGATAAAAAAGTGAATAAAAAAAAACCATGGTCTTATTGAGCTTACATTCTAGTTAAAGTGTTTGATAATAAACCAATATGTAATAGAATGTAAGGTAGTATTAAGTACTATAATAAAATAAAATAGAATAAAAATAAATCAGGATAAAAAATATAGAGAAAGTAACATTTGAACAGAGACCTAAATGAAATGAAAATAACACTATGCAGATATCTGCGAGTACAAAGTATCAGGCAGAGGGAAGAGCCCTGAGGCAGAAGTTAGCTTGATGTGTCCGTGAGGCACAGAAGGTATCATTTTAGTTCCTTATTTATAGGATGGTTGGTTTGTGCTCATCAAGAGTGAGTGATGTGTTGGTGTGAGTTCAGGTTGGATAGAAAGTCAGGGTCTGATCACAACTTTATAGGCCATGGAAAGACCTTGGGTTTTATTCCAAGTGATGGGAAGCCATTAGAAAATTTTAAGCAGAAGAGTTACATAGTCTGGTTTTTAATTTAAAAGGATCATGAGAGCTACTTGTGGAGAATAGAATTGGGGGAGAGAGAATGTGGCAGAATAGAAGTAGAGACCAGCTAGAAGATTTTTAGAGTAATTGAGGCAAGACCTAGTGGTTATCAGCCAGGGTGGTAACTGACTGGGTGGATTCTGGGGAAGGAGCAGGGGATTGTTGTTACTGTTGCTTTGTTTAACTTTGATTTTGGTTTTGGACATGCTAAGATTGATGTATTGATTAGATATCCAACTGACGATGTTGAGTATGTAGTTATATATATGTGTTTTTGAGTTCAGAGCTGAGTTGCATATGGAGATACAAAATTGAAGAGTTGCTAGGATATTTGAACCTGTGGGACTAGATGAGGTTACCTAGAGAGTAAGTGTGGTTAGAGAAGAGAAGAGTTCAGAGACTGAGCCCTGGGCCACTTCATGTAGAAATCAGAGAGATGGGTGGGGAGGGACTAATCTAAAGGGACTGAGAAGGAGCTGCCAGTCAAGTGTGAAAAACCATGAGAACTGGGTGTCCTCGAAGTCAAGTGAAGAAATTATTTTAAGGACAGAGTGATCAACTGAGTCAGATGTTGCTGATAGGGGTTGTAAGGTAAGCACCAAGAACTGACTGTTGTTTTTGGCAACTTGGAGGCTAGTGATGACCAGATCATAACAAATTCAGGGGAAGGATGGGGAGTAAAACTTGAATGGTTGAACCAACAGGTTCAAGAGATGAAAGGTAGAGAGGAAAAAAGCACGGTGAGTACAGGCACTTTTTCAAGGAATTTTGCTGTAGAGGGGAAAGGGAAGTGTGGTAGTAAATGGAGAGGCATGTGGATTAATGATGAGGAATTTTTAAAGATGAAGATATTTACAGTTGTTTGTATGTGATGAGAATGATCTCGAAGAGAGGAATGGCACAGGAAAGAGAGGCGATAGGAAACCCTTGAGTAAGTGAGCTGGGAAGGTTTGTCCTAACCAGGAACATTTCTTCTGGTAGGAGGGAAGGCAAAGTCTATGGCTTTGTGGTGGGAAGATGTGAAGGTTTTCTTCTGATGGGGAGGGGCTTTTGGAGATTTGAGGGGCCAGTAAAAGGTGTACCATAGGTATCTTGGAGAGGAGGAGAGGGGAGTGGCCAGCAGCCTGAGGGGTCCGTCAAATGCATTGCAACGTTATTTTTGGGGAGATACACTATTTTAGTAGCTTTAGTGAAGTTGTCATATTCCTTCAGTGATGCAAGCTATCATTTCCCCTTTCTAGGATTTATTGGGGATAAGCTGAAAGTAGATACAGATCAAATGATGACTTTTAAATTAAACACTTTCATCTGTGTAAACTGAACTTACTATTGCGAATTAACACATTCGGCAAATGATTACGTAATATTCTGCCATTTGCCAAATACTGGGCCGCTGTTGAGGAGGGTGTAGCAAAGCTGGTTACAGAGGTAGATTGAAAACATATTGTAAGCCCTTAATATGTGTTGCCAAGTCACTGACTGTGGCCTTGATTGATTAAAATAAGGAGCTTTTATTGAAACTGGGACCCTGAATTTCCTTAAGTCCATCTACTTTTGTAATCTAGAAGATAGAAGAGTGTAGGTGAATTTCTAATTAAAGGAAAATTGATAGTCCAGAAACAGATTAAAGTATAAGATATTAATACATGATAAATGTGACATTTCAAATCAGTGGAGAAAAGATAATTTTTCCCCTAAATGATACTGAAACAATTGACTACCTATTTGTAAGAAAATTAATTTGGAGCCTTATCTCTCATCATATACAAAAATAAATTCCAGGTAGACTACAATTTTATATGTAAAAAAAGAAAATATTAAAAATTTAAAGAAAATATAGAAGGATATATTTATAATCTTAGAATGGGGAAACAACTTCTTAAGACTTAAAATCTTAAAGGAATTGACAGATTTGATTACATAAAAACTTAACTGATGGTAAAAAGACATCTTAAACCAAGTTAAAAGGCAGAGCGGTGAGGTAAATGGGGCAGAGTGTTGAGGAAGACAGATATTTGCAGTAGTAAAACACAAAGTAACACCAGTAAACCAACACCTCCTACAAATCAACCAGCAATAGACAAACTATCCTTTAGATATTAATAAAATGGCAAAGTATATAAAAAAGCCATGGAAATAGACAATTTATAGATCTTCAAATAGCTATAAATAGATCTGTGGCCTCACTAATGATGAAGGAAAAGCAATTAAAAACAATCATATTAGCAAAAATTAATGACATAATATCCAGTGATGGAAATAGTATGGATGAAAGGGCCTATCCTGTACTATTAGAGGGAGAATACATTGGGACAACTCTTTAGAAAGGTAATTTGCAGTATCTATTAAAATTACAAATGTTCATAACCTTATGACTCAGCAAAACCACTTGCATTCTGTCCTACAAAATAATAGTCTGAATGTATAAAAGATTTATGTATATGAGCATTAATTGCAGTGGTATTTGTGAAAGCAAAACGTTTGAGGCAGCCTAAATGTCTATGAATAGGTTTATGGTTAAATCAACTATAGGACATCCGTACTATTCAGTTGCATTAAATTGAATACTATTCTGGAATCATGTATCTTAACCTGAGATATAGCACAAGATTATGACTCATGACGTGTGAAACAAACATACGTTAGTAAAATTAACCAAACTTTGCTAATCATGAGTGGTGGGTACAAGCAATAAGCTGCCACCAAGTGCCTGGCTGCTGGGAGGCCATGAGTCCGTCAGCTCTCAGGTGACCCTTTTCACATCCCTGGAGGCATTCTGGGTTCTGAGTGACAAGTGCCAACTATGTGTGGTTCACATTAGCATAGAGGGAGCCTTCCAGATTTGGGTAGCCTTCATTTTTATTTTCTGTTAGTCACCCATGTAGTCTTTGTGACTAACTTCCATTCTTTAGCCAGATGAAATAAAAATGCCAGGGTGATTTACTGTGAGTGTTGTCCCGTAGAACTTTCTGCAATGATGGAAACGTTCTATATCTGTGCTGTCCAATACAGTGGTCACTAGCTACATGTGGCCATTGAGTGAGCACTTGAAATGTGGCTGTTGTGACTAAGGGACTGAACTTTTAATTTTAATTAATTTAAATTTAAATAACCAATGTGTCTAGTGGCTACTGCATTTGACAGTGTGGATCTAAACAGACAAGGGGTAGCCTTCTAAATATGTTCTTAGATTAGAACTATCTCAGTTATCTTCCTGCTGAGAAATTCCATCAGAGGATTTGCAAGAATATCCAGTAAGGTCAACATGGCCTTGGGCATATCAAAGAGGGAGTGCCTCTGTCAACTTTTCCCTTCCTTACACCATCCTAAAAAGGTATCAAGATGGTAAATTAAACAGACAAGTTATACAATAATATGTATTGTTCGATTTTAAATGACCTGTGTGTGTATAAAAATATATATCTAGCATTAAAAAATTTTAAAAACTAGGTACCAAATTGTTAAGATAATTTATTTCTGGAGGGTAGACTTACTGAGTCAGGTGAAGGAAAATGGTGACATTTGGTGTTATTTTTCCTTTTGTTTTTGTATATTTCTGTATTCTTTTCAAGTTAAAGTAATCTTTTTAAAAATGGAAGAATAACAGGGAGACACAGGCGTTTCTGTGAAGGCTGTCTGGATTCCCTCACGACCAGGTGTTATCCTTCCCTGTTCTAAATACTCAGGGCACTTTATACTCAACTGTACCTATGATCTGCCTTGAGAGGTTTCTGTATTAATTTTTGCACCTCTCTAAATGCTGTCGGCGTGTCTTACTTTGTAGTCACCTATAGAAGGCTTTCTATAAACATTTGTTAAGTTGATTTCATTCTCGACTCTAATGAATTCTGTCAATAGCAAGCTAGCTTCTTTCTTCTGCACCCTTCTTTCTTTACTAGTGATACGTATTTATTTGAACAGCAACAAGTTAAGACAATGCCATTCTGGTTTTTTACATGTGATATGAGAAGGTCTGATAAACATTGCGTGGGCTGATCAAATGATGTGTGTGAATAGTAATCACATTTGTGAATTAGAAGAAACATTTTATTTCATGTTTTAGAGTTTTTATGCTCAATTGGGTTTATAAATTTCAAGTAAAAACAAATGATTTCTTATAAGTTTACTAGCATGTACTTATGGCAGCATATCTACGCTTCCTACTGATTTACTCCAAGAATATTTGGAGTGAGTTATTTCCCCTAGTTCTCAGATGTGCAACTACATCGCCATATGTAGCATAGACCATTATGCTGAGGGAGTGGAAGCACTAAGGTGAGGGGCATGACTTGTATTATATAACTTGTATACCTAGTTACTCTGACTTT